GGTATCGTTGGTGAAGGGTCGATGCCGTAGTGAGAGATTCACGGGGACCGAAGGGGTGGCTAGGTGGTAGGTAGCAATAAGGTGCTGGGCACCGCGCTGTTACGACCCCTGATCTAGTGATATCATGTATGAGGGAACGGTTTCGTACACTTCCGCCTTGGAAATTATGCGAAACACTTGCTACGAGTCTCTCGATTCGCTACCTTTTCAGTTTTTATAAAATACAGAGTACGCAATTCGCTCTCGTCGTAAAACGAAAAAGAACATCTTTAATTCGTTGATTCATCCTTGTCGTAAAGGAAGACAGGAGCTGCAGAAACTCCTGAATCATCCATTAAGAGCACAGAATTAATTTGATATTTGGGACTAAACAAGTGATAAGACGCATGATAAGATATTACAGCGTCCGGGGGTAGTTTCACGGTCTGGGTGAGCTGCGTTTATGCAGCTTCTGAATTTAATTATATACGCGGCAGACGAAACTATCGAGCAATCCTGGTCCTAATTGCAGAGATGCTTACTAATTAACTAGCTCGCACAGGTCAGATCATTATATCGGTTACTCAGCTCTAAACACTGTTTCTCCGTCTACGTACTTCCTGTACGTACACCACGATAATTCCGTTCTGCATTTACTATAAAATCCGGCAATAAAAAGAAACAAACGTTGAGTTTCAGTAAGAAAAATCCTCCGTTGAACTTCTTTGTCATTCTCCACCTTAAGTGGAAATTTTATGAACGCTGCAATGCTTGTTCATGGTGCAAGAATTAAAAGGAAATTATTACAAACAAATGATTGTTGAACGTTCGCGAGAGCCGGGGACGGGGTGTTCGTGAAACAATTTCGGAAGCGTAAAATCTGGAAAAGAGCGTCAGGTAAAAGGAACTGCCGTCGGGGGCCATGATGGCTCTGACCTTTCTCGCTTATCTGCGAGGCCAGAGAGAGAGATACCCCGGGTCAATACTTCTCGGGAGGGTTTCCACGAGGAAAGAGGGGATTCGCTTCGCCACCCCTTGTTTCTCTGCTCGCCCACGATTGGCGGTGTCAGGGTGGCGGTTCCACGGGGGTGGAAACAGCAGATAGATATTTGATTGTACGAGAAACGAGTTTACTCCGCGATCAGCCTGTTTCCATCTGACAAACTGCTAAATAATACTATTCTTAAAAATCTGATTTCTGTTCTGTCCGACGGTGAATGTGGAAGGGCAGATTCGATCAGTCGAGGGAAGACAATCGTTTCGGAAAAAGTCAAACTATTCAGGCGGTAATTTTTAAAATAATTCTATGCACGTCAAATTTTTTGTATCTACATGAATGCACGACAGGAAACAATCGTCGTACGCTGAGTATTGAACAATTGAACGAGCAAGAGCCTCGTGGCAAGACGGGTCCATTTACGAATATTAAATTCAATGATCGTGATTTATCTTTTCTCGGTTAAGCTTGGCAGAGCGAAGGGATGGGAACGAACAACCACACCTCGTTTCTACCCTCGACGACGATTGGTCCTGGCAGATCCCGAAGGACGGAGATAGAGGGAAGGTAGCGAAGAGATGAAAGCGGCAGAAAACGTTGCGGGGATGCTTCAGAGGAACGAGGACAGAGAGAGAACAGAGCGACGAGGAGGAAGTTTCGCCCTTGAGATACACAGGGGATGAGGCGGCTCGTGAAACGCCATCATCAAGCATTCATAAGGTGTAGCAGCCTGTTTATCAGAGGAATACTTTGCAGTAGATTCCCTGGGAATAACTGGCGCCAACTCGCTCCACGAAGAATTTTCAAAGAGAGACCTATTGGAAAATCCTTTATCATCTTCCGAGCCTTCTATCATCGATCGGAGAATTAATCGATCGAAAGATTTTTAAATCGTAGTTTCGCTCGATACTTTAGTTAGAATTTACTAAGAGAAGATTGCCAATATAAATTAGAATTTTTTGCCGGGAAGACTGTGTACCGTCTATACAGCTGCTCCTGTCTATAAAATTGATGGTTCAACGAGACGACTCTTTTATCCTCTCTTTCAGCAACTAATGATGTGGGCTGAACGGTGCTCCATCGTACAGATACGAAGGAATGATCGTCATCCATCAACATCGCATCGATACCGTGACACCCTTCGATTTTTCTCCACAGGGGAAAATAATCCCGATTAAGGGATGAAATTGTTTTCAGAGAATTGCAGGGGTTTACGTAGATTTTGACAATCTTTATCGAACGTTTCGTTCCGATCAGAGGCTTGAAAAAAGAGTTTCTATCTGCCGTTTCGCCGAAATTTTAACTATCATTCGCGTAACTCATCCGCAGGAAATATCAGAATTAATTCTCCTGTCCAGATCCTATCAATAAAAATCCAGTATCGTTCGTTCCGTGGAATCAGGGAACGAGGAAATATCGCGCGAGCAGGTGGAATGATTAATCCCGTAAACGAGCGATGATTTCGATCGGGTTTAATCGCGTTTCACTTACAGCCGTCATTTACGCTCGTCACCTACGGCAATTTCGAACTCGGGATATAAAGCGTGAACCGGGAACAGCGGTGGCATATGTGGATGTAACGGAACTACCCTCGTTGGGGTGGTTGTCACCGTCGGTGGCCGTGTACGTTTTGTCATTGGAATTTGATGATCCGCCATCCCGTTGGGGCTGGCTACATAAATATTTGCCGGGCAACCCCTTCGTCGATCCACTTGCTTCCTCGACGATGTAATCCCCTTTGTTCCAGCTTCCGCACCACACCCTCTCGTTTTATGGCACCCTTCGTCACGATGCTTTACGATTCACGTTTTCGGACATTAGTCTCACTTTTCTGATCCAATAACTACATTATGCAATTACGTACTTTCATTTATTTCATCTTCTGAGTCAGATAGCAATTCTTATGATATAAACGCGAAATGAATAATTAATTATAGATTGACTACTGCAATATTAAAGTTTTACTAATCGGTTTGTAAATACATTCACCGTGAATCAAATTTGTCTGTACACGTAAGTGGAGCATCGTCACGGACAATAAAATCCGGATCACAGACTCTATTTTACGCGCGATTAATTTCATTAACAAGTCAACCCTTCTTGGCACCCTTGTTCTCCGTACGACAGCAGGTACGGATCACCCTTCTGACAAGTGTAGTAAATCCCCGCAAAATAATAAACAGGATGGTCACCATATGTAAAGAGAATGATATCGCGATCACAGTCAGGATTCCCCTGCGAACGACTTACGTCGATCAGTTCAATAGTTCTCGATTAATTATATCATATCGTTTCGTAATACGAAATCGTCATTTATCTCAGTCTTCCGTTTTATGATTAGACCGTGGATTTCATGCTTCGAAATTGAAAAGAAATTGAACGTACACGACGATTTATAAATAACTGAGTGCACATCGCGATACTCAAATGATAAATTAAATTGTCGTGTAAGATGTATTCTTTCATCGTGGATAAAAATCCACAATTCGAGGATAATATCTGATAGCTATTATATTTGCAACTGCGTCGGAGCATATGCCAGCGAATTCTATAAATCCCCATCTAATCCCATTTAAAGCGATGATCATGTATAATGCAGCGAGCTCCTCTTGCGACACCGACTCGTCGAGACATGATTAATAGCCTGTTTCCATTCTCCTGTTGTCGTTAGAATCTCCCATATGAGAATTGTTTCATCGCCCAGTCGCATCTGCGTTCCACACAAGCTTCTGTCTCCTCAAATGAAAATGCAATACCGAATCTATTCGCTGAAGAATTGAATATTGAAACGTTCTAAAACAAACGACGCCACGTGGAGTAGATATTTCGAAGAGTGACGAATTCGACTATCGTGATATTCGTTTAGTACGCGAGTAAATATTTGCTCGTGGCAGAATGATCAGAGATTATCATCTTGTAACTAAGTACTGTTTCTGTAGATTGAAAAAACAAGTGGCTTTGATGAACATTTTTACTCTCCAACAAATCTAAAGGTCACGGAATTAATTTGCTCGCTATACCGGCGCCCGTCGCTGTTCCACGTCAAAGTGTCGTCGTTATCAACGTCCTGCTCACCTCTCAGCTGACGTATCGTAAATCGTGGATCGACGTGGTGCCGCAAAAAAATCGCCCCCGAACGAGAGAGGACGCGGACGTCCTCTCCTGCAATCTCCAGGAAAATGAACGCCATAAATAAGCACGGCCGGCCAATAATTCCGTCGCGATCGAGCAACAAGAGTTTTTCATCGGTGCACCCAGAACGGGGTGGCCGGACACCGACTGAAAGTAGCGATGGAACCGAGTCAAATCCTGACACAGTACAAATTCGCCCATATCTAGTCGACTAGAAAGATATCACAATAGAAATCACGATAACGAAGTGTCATTATGGCTGATCATCAGGGTAATGAAATTATTATCACCTCCCTTACGCAGATGTATTAAAATAATTACTGTACGAATCGTTGCCAAAAACTAAACATTAAGAGGCACGGTTGATCATTAAGTATCAAATCGTCGTGTCATAAAAATGAGACGCTTGGGAAGGATCGAACGGTGAGCAGTTATCACGCGTGGGTGTCGATTCCGTTCCTAGCAACAAGGGCGAGAGAACGATTGTAGAGGATGCGGAGGAGACGATGGTCGATGGTGGGAGGATAGGTACGACGCGTTTTGTAATCAAATCTAAAATTCCCAGCGCGGAGGAACCCGATGAAAGAGTAACCAACGGACACAATCGAATCGGGATACTGGCTTGTCACCTGACTTCAAATAAGCGACCACTGTCCTGCGCCTTCTCTGCCCTGTTATCTGCACACCTTTAGCCTCCACCCTGGCTCGACCTCAGATTTCCCTGGAGACTGAAAAAATAAAAACTATCGTACCACCCCTTTGTACCCGTCCAAAGAGTTGAAACGCTCTCATCCCCTTAAACTTGGGAAACTTTTGACAGAAGTTATTCTTCTAATGACGCTAGGTTATTATCTCTACGAAATTGACAGGATTTCTCGTTTATGCAGTCAAATGTGTTTTTATTTACTTCTCAGCTGGTACATTTAAAACGTGAAGAGGCAAGAGAAATTTAAATTCGTGTAGCGTTTAAATTCTTTAATATTGAAGTTTAAGTGACTTACGGGGGAGATCGTCACGTTTGAGAATAATGCAATATTCAAGAGATGAAACGCTCATATTAAAAGGGATTTAGAAATAAACTGTTTATAACTAAATTATGGTAGATAACAAAATCTTGATTTCGAATGTTAGTACAGATACATGGCTACGTATATCGTTTTAACTCTATATTATTAAAGCGCCAGTAATCTTACAATCACATCTCCATCTTCCCTTTGCATTTCTTCAGTAGACGAAGTTGAGCCAATGTAAGAAACATGAAATAGTCAAGTATATCGTAAACGAAAATCCTGTGAATCGCACAGCGAGCGAAGTAGAAAACCAATGTCGCCTGAATCGATTGAATTGGTTATATCGACTACTTCTTTCTCTAGGAAAAAACGAGTTTCCATACAATAATTCTTGAAAATAAGTTCGAGTAGCCGTTTCCGAGCATCGATAAAGGGGCGCCTCCCATGGATCGTCTCTCCAGGCAGCTAACAGCAAAGTATAATCTCCCTTCCAATTCAGACTGATCTTCGCTTTGAATTTTATTGTCGCTGGAGTCTCGATATCTTTAGGCATGCAGTTCTTCAAATCCCGTTCGATTCTTCTTATCCTCATAATTCCTTTTGCTCTATTCGTGACTTTGCATCCGGATGGCACGATCCTACTAATCGGAACCAGTAGACCGTCGAGAACGCGAAGTTCCAACTCGCTCGTACCAGAAGGTATCTTCGCGTTCTGCTGAGCCTGGAAAGGATCTTGATCAAGTTTCATTCGCTGCCTTCGATTCACCCGCAGCATAATCGATTCCTCGGTATCTCCCGGAACGTGACGATAAATATCCGTCTCCAGAGCTCGTTGAACGTAAGTTCCAGTCGCGCTTGTCATATACAAGACGTTCGAGCAGGTAGAATCAGTATAATAAGTCCAACGAGCGAACCACCTGTTGTCCCTTGAGTACATCTGGAAGAATCTCTTGGACCAAAGTCCTCCGTCTACGCTCTCGCATCTGACGCTCAACCAAAGACCGTCGATCACCGCTGGCAGCGACGGTGCTTGATGAAACAGAGGCGGACTGCACTCCGTGGCACGATACACGTTCCCGCAAATCGGACAATCCATAGCTTGCTGTTAGGGCGTCACAATTGTCATTTAACATAAGAAATAAAATGATCATCGATAAGTAGATGGATTGAAGTCATTTGTAAAATAATTATTCCATGAAGAGATATAAAATCGAACGTATATCGGGACGCATAATAGAATATGTTTTATTTCGTTGATAAGATCTTTTTACCGTGTCGGCGCGTAGCAAAGGTGTAGACTGCAGGCGACTTGGTTGCATTCGTTGAGAATTAATGCTCCGAGCTAGCCCACCGAGTAGCAATTCGATCCTTTCTCGGCCCGGTGTCGACGAATTCGTGGGGGAATTAAATCGTTTCACTTCAATTCGCAGCAATTCAAGTTCTGTGAGATCTACGTCGAAAGATTCGAGACACTGCAACGTGTGTCGTCTCTTCGCTCGCGATAAGCGACTCTGCAGTGAATTAGAATTCAAGTCGTGTGCGTTCAAATCTGTATTTAACGAAGAATCTCGCTCGTAAATGAGCTGTGATACGTAGGGACGCCACTTCTTGTCCCAGCCGCAACTCGTGTTCATTCTCCGGCCAAATTTATGCGCGACCTAATGATTAAACGGAATTTACGTTGAAAGAAAATGAAGGAAACGCGTATGAAATGCCGTCAAGTTTTACTCCACGATGGAAAATTCAAGCTCCAAGGACGAGACGACATTTCATACCGGCCTGATATAATGCGTTTTGCACGAACCTGTCTGTTAAGCGGTATCAAGTGAACCGAATCCAACTGCACGTAAGTTTCTGCGGCGCCAGGAACCGTGGCAGAGGGAGATACAATTTTAATTGAACCTCGCGCTATGATCGTGTAAGTTGCGATGCTACAAGATTCCTCGGCGTAATGATATTGTAACAACAGGAAAGTGTCATTTTTAAAGAAATTGTATTTTCTTATAACGTACTTCGGGCCCGTTCGTACTTCGCATCTGAGGGAACAGTCCTCCAATATTACACTTATCGAGGAGGTACTACTAAAGAGTGGTAGTGCCCGTGCAGCCTTATTTATAGCTGACAACTACAGTTACAACTTTTGTCAATTCCCATAAGACTGCCACTCTATAGTAATTTCTCCGCGGTACTATTAGTATCATGAAAATTTTTCGAAAATTCACTTACTCCTGTGACACCCAAGTCTCGTGTAATCTAGCTGGTGTATTATCTGTTACAGTACCTCTGTCATCGGAATCGGATCTTTTCATTAACGCGTCGCAACGATTATCTTCTTTCTCCGCTTCTAGACAAATCGTGTAATCAAGCCCTATCAGAGGAAAACGTTAAAACAATGATCCACGTGGAAATTTGATTTTTTTACTGGGGAACGACGATGTTTAACGATAAAGAGAGTTTTGTATTCAGTCGCGTTGCGTTCTCGCACCTTCTCTTCTTCTGTTTGCATGTGCTTTTGCTGTCTTTTCGATTGGTATTCCAATCGGATCGGCAGCGAGATGCGATAGCCTCCGTGATGCTATGCAGCCATTCAAGGAACGCGTATCAATCAGAAGTAGCAGAGTACATCGACAAGAACGAAGAAGAAACAGTTCAGATCATCGAGAAAACGTTCAATCGTTACAGTAAAATTGATTACTCTAATGATCGCGATTCGGGAAATATAATTCAAGCAGCCTAGACTCACCTTGCAAGAGACACAGAATGATAATTAAAGATTGCATCCTTGATCAACGAAGCGAATATATCGTCCGTTATTCGATATTTCATCTCATGTAGATTTTATCAGTGCAAATCTTTAGATGAATTAAAATAAAAATGGAAGTAAAGATCTATGAAACGAAGTCACTGTCTTTGAACGATCTGAACAGACTTGGATCTGCTCCGAAGTAGTTCCTGCGTTTATACGTTTATCCCTTCCCGGCGTCTTTCTCGGGATAGTAGGGGATGTGACGAGATTCTCGATGCTAAATATTTATTCCTCTTTTAAAGAAAACGATATGAAAACAGCGTTATAATATTCTAATACGCGTTCTTTCAAATTCGAATGAAGTACGTGCTTTGGAATACAGGGGCCGTTACATTTTGCGCGTCTGGCATTATGATGAAGCGAGATAACCTGCTTCAGCTTGTTAATTTATCTATCAGAATAGATTCATTATTTGACAGTGACTCGGTTCGAAAATATTTATGATAGAAGTCGTCGAAAGATATTCATATTTCGTTTATGAAGATGTTAAGATCTGTAAAGGAGGCGTTAATTTTTAGTGATAAAACTGTAGTGTTTCGTTCTGGCTGAACACGTGATTCAGGAGAATTTTATTAATAAAGTTTAAAATGGCTAAACTTTATTCGTATTATACATTATGCCCACTTATCGATCAACAAAATTTGTTAGGCGTCGAAAGGGACTCGGAAAGCGGGTGTGCAATCGTGACATTAGGGAAGAACATCGTGATTCGATATAAGGTAAATTATTATATTTGCGAGACTCGCTGGTTACTAAGAACCTACGTTTTCTTTATTTGTATCACACAATTGTAAATGCAATTCGAATCGTAGTTACAGGATTTGAAACAGCTGAGTAGTTGGACCAGTAAAGATCGATTAACGACACAAGTCATTTATGATGAGACAACGGGCCAATATGCCTCGATATTTAATGAGAAGAAGATACGCCTTTGGTCTGCTGAGGAGACAGATTTGAACAACGTTAAAGGCTACAAATTCCAATTTGCTCTGCATACCATTCTCACGTTCGAAGGCTGTCCACCCATAGTAGTACGTAAGAATGGAGCTACTGCTTCACTGAAGTGGGCTATAGAGAACAGAAAATCTTGGTCCAAAGATGGAATACTAAATAATAGTGAGAGGATCGTAGACTGTCATCTAATCAGAAACAGTGACAAAGTGAATTTATGCATATTAACTGAGAACGAAGGTACTCACAACTGTGTCATAGTTGAACTTAAAAATGAAACTTATTTGGAGGAAACAGGTTCTATCAGGAGGTTGCAGTTAAAAAGAAGTTCGGAGGAGCTAGTAGGTCATACAGTATTGCAAGCTAAGAAAAAAGCTCATCTTCTAACGTTGTGGTCGCATGGCAGATTGTACAGTCATCCTTTAACGGAAACTAATAATGAAACCAGTTTAAGCACGTTGATCGGTATCGTCAATAATATGAATACTAAATATCCTGTAGTTATGACAGCGTTGAATGAGACTACCATAGCCGTGTATGGAGCCGATGTCTCTGAAGAAGGAGCTGTGCTAATGATTTACAATGTACAATTCAAATTGATACAAGATGCACAGAAGCTGAAATTGTATACGGAGGATGCGAAATTATGGAAGATCGAAGACAAGCTGTTGCTGGCTGCGAATAAGCATCTGGCGATTGCACCTTACCATCTTGCATCTCAGAAAATAGCAAGCCTGCTTGGCTCATCATTACGTTTCAAAAATGATGACGAGACGACGGATGATAATGAGATCGTTGTAATACAGGAGTCGACGATAGCTCAATGGGATAAGAAATGCGCTGCGTTACTTAGACACGAGCCACAGAAACCTCCTTCGAAACTTTCCAAGCAGATATCGTCTTATGTAAAGGAAGGATTGAGCGATGCTGCGATACAAGAAATATTGATTCCACAGTTGATCGAGTCGAAGAACGTTGAAGCGATCGTATGGTGTTTAAACAATTTCAAAGATCTCTCGGAGAAGCTGTTGACCGATCTCTTAATTTTTGCGCTACGGAGCCCTGACGATACGTTTATACCGGTGCAGAATGGTGTCACCGATGATCAGCCGAGAGATTTATATTCACGAAATAATTTTCTCGATAAACTTTTCAGTCTCACTTACTCCGATGTCTCATTATCGTCGTATCTTAAAAGCGGCTTGAATTTCAATGAAATACTTCAATTACTGCAATACTTAATACTGAAGTTGAACGATAAAGATGATTTCTGTCGGGATGTCATACAGCAACCAACCGATAAACAGTTGTACGAGTGGTCTAGTCTTTTGTTAGAATCACATTATCAGCATTACCTGTTATCGCGAGATCCGGAGGTGTCTACGTTGCTTAATAAATTCAGTTTCGTCTTAAACGATCACGTAAGTGTTTGTGCAATCTAATATAATGTTCGCTTAATCAGTCCTTATCAATGTCCCTTTTCGCAGCAACAACTGTTCAAAGATATGGAAAACCTGAGGCCTATCTTAAGAAGAATCATGAACGGAAAATCGTCGAAACTGTTACAAAGAAATCGTAACAAATTTTATACCATAGAAGAAATAAAACTCTATTAAAATGTAGATGATGTATAATGTCCGGTTTCATATGTCTCGCGTCCGAATCGAATTGTAAAATACTTTTTATATACATAAGAGGAATTGTAAAATAAATATTTAAGTCGAAAGAAGTTTTATTAGTTATTCGTATCTACAAAGTTACATTCACTGCAATGAAATGCTTAACAAATATTAAATAGATCGCAATGATACGGGCCTCTGATCTCTATCTTCGCAATATGGAAGAGAGTGTAATTTCGATATTTCGCTACTCGAAAGAAACGTGAAATCTATTTTAATTCATCGACGTACGGTATAGTTTTCAAATTTCCGGTAGCGGCCAGAGACAGATTCCCTTTGGCTAGTTTATCAGCCACCTGGAAAATATTTTCAGTTTTAGACTTACATTTTTATAAATAAAAATCAATGTACGTACAGCTTTTATGTCGGCCGCAGTAACTTTGTCAATGGCGTTGACTAACGCTGTCGGTGAGGTAATTTGTCCTTTGAGCAGAGCTTGCTGTTGTAGACTTTCCAACAAGGAAGTAGAATTGTCCGCTGCGTCCAAAACCTCCGTTTTTAAGATATTCTTACCGCGAGCGACGTCGCTTTCCAATACGTTCAAGGACTTCAACCATTTGGCAGCTGCTTTTGTCAACTGATACAAAATGAAAACCGTTAAAAGAAGATATAGAAATACATAAGTCGAATTATACGTACAGATCCTGCTACGTTCGGTGGTGAACACAAGACGACTCCGAAAAGTCCAGAATCGGAGTAGCTCGCATTGAACGTTGACACACCGAATAGTTCTGAGCCTGCAGCACTCGCGACTTGCTTATTCAGCGGACTGACAGTAGATCCCCATTTTACTCTGGGTCCGCAACCGGACGCTCTCTGAAGTACTGCACACGCTAAGACATCTTTGTCGCTTTTCAAGCTGACACCTTCGACGGCCAATGCCACTTGAGTCAGAGGTGCACCGGTCTCATTACGTACTTCTCCACCAGAATACTTCGCTTTTTCGTTCGCATTATCTCCAGAGCCAATGGTCAAATTGGATCCTAGAGCAGCGAGTTCTGAAAGCGCGACACCGGTGCCAACGACTGCGCATCTCGGTGCAGTACACCAAGAATTGACAAAGTGTTGCAGCTACGAACAGGAAGGCATTATTCCCTGAGACCTTAAGGACGTCTCATCAGCCATCGATGGAATTATACTTACAGTCTCTGAGTTTATTTTGCCTACTTGATGCGGTGAGCAAAAAAGAGAATTTCCAAGCCCACTATTACGAAAAGCTGCTTTGTGCAACAGATCAATTACCACAGCTGTATCTGGCAAAGTGGCTAATTCATATTTCAGTCTGGGCAGTTCATCAGATACCTCCCACGGTTTGAACACTTGTTTGGTAGCAGCACTCTCCAGATACTTGAGAGCTTCTACCCTGTTCATAGAAAAAGATTGATCAATGAGAATGTTAGTTCAGTGGAGGATATATAATACTTACAAGTTGTTCCTGGTGATTTGTAATGTGTATGCTATAGTTTCACGGTCTTGGGTGGTTACTAAATTTCCACCGAGCTGTTGTATGTTCCTCGTTATGGCAAAAGCACTTGCATTGGACGTGCTCAGCCCAGCACATATCCTTAAATAATGAGCTGTGCCTTGTGTATCGTGCGTTTCATTTCGTGAGCCAGCTCTATAAATGAGGAATCCACAAAAGTGACTGCAATGATTCTAATACCTTTTGATATAATTTTGAATACCTGAAGACGATGGATACTTGTGCAACTGGAGAGTTACTGTCACATGTGGCCACGGTCACTTTATTAGTCAAAACTTTGATCTCGGGAGTTGCAGATGCACAAGCCTGTGCAGCTGCTGCAGCCGCATAATGTCTAACCTGGTAAGTGAAGGACTTGTTGAGAAAATCATATAAAGCAACTGGAAGGTTCTAAGTAATAATTTAAAAGGACAATTGTACAATGTGCTCTGGCCTGTGTAATCAATCAGACAGGGATTGACGTACCGTACAGTATCTGATCGTTTACATAACACCTTTCGGAATTCTTTGATTAATTAACAACGACATTTCGTAACGATCATAAAATGAGAAATAAGTTAATTATTACCGTGGAGCCACGTAGCAGAGAAGGTCGGACAACCGAGCCAACCATTTTTTCGTCTCTCGGTGATTCGAAAAACTCCTCGAGATCGGAATATAGAACGACAGAACTACCAGGTACTACCTATAGCACGCTTTAGAGAGTAGAGAGAGAGAGAATTATTTCGTAGCTCTCAGTTCGATGTCGCTGTATTCGAACTTCGAACACATCAATTCAAATGGACTCGTAGAAAAAAATAAGAGGAACAAATCTTGTTATTTTAATATTTTATTCTATTAATTTTTCTTGTCATATTAAGAAATCCGATACAAATGTATTCCATGTCATATTTGTACTCGTGAACATTGTTGTTTAAAGTTTCGTGTAATTACAGCTAGCGGTATATGAATAGGTGAACGAGAAGAGAAATCGTTACTTTCTTGATTATTTCTGTTGCCTCTTCTTTTTAAACGAGAAAAAATTATAGATCGTCTCATAAAGTCAAAGTTCGGGAAGCCCCAAATTTCGAAAATAAAAGTATGCAATATAAAAAATGAATAAATTAACGTCCGCAATAAACAGATAAAAATGATAAAAAATTTAGTTTTACGACTTATTGTTGAGTTACTTGAAAAAGGACGTGCAACGTACACGCGTCTATTCAATTATATACATACTGTCGTGTATATAAATATATACATACATTTACACTTACATACATCATACGTACATTGCGCGCGTTCGTAATTCATATAACTATGAATCTACTGATCATTGATGCTACGAGTATTTTCTGTTTAATACAAAATAATCGGTGAGCTTATGTTAAAAATGTACATATAAGTACAGTGATAAATGTCTTATCGATTTGGCACAAAGGTTGCACGATTTCTTACTCTTTGGTTCTCGCAAATGATTTAAAAAAGATCTGAAAAACCTGCGAACTACGTACATTATGTATAATTACACGTTTCGTAAACGAAGTAGATTGTATTATCGTCAATAAATCTTAAAATTATCGTATCTATTTACTCTAAGAACACTTTAAAGAGAAAGTGTGTTTGTGCAAATTAGATTACAATGATTCATTGAATAATTCATCTGCAACGTTCGGGGCGGGCATTAAAACTAATATTACGTTTACACGAATGTAACATGACTAGAATGGAAATGAACGTTCAAGTTCTTCTTCGGAATCGTTATCACCATGCAAATATACTTACATCTACCGTTAGGCAACTCGATTGATTCATTGTGAATTTTCACGACTGATTGAAATAACGATTCACGATATCTCCCCGAGAGGTAAGCACTTTTTTCCGCGTGAACAACATCGCAGTTCTTCCGATCATTTCACGCGTCCGACTCCACAAATTTTTACCTTAAATCGTTGACTAATTTTCCGAAAAATACTGCTGCAAAAATTTATGGTAATTGCCACTGTACCTCGCAAATTCTATCCTGTCCATTGTCCAAGAAGTAGAAGAATATATGGGTTAACAGTTAAGTAACACTTCGCGCGAAGTAACAGTCGTTTCGAACAAATCTACGATCGATTAACAGAAACTGTAACCACTAATGAATTTCCATATGAACGTGTGCATCGTAAATATGTGCAACTGAGAAACTAACTAGTCTTTTCCTAATGATCATGCGTCGTACTCCTAATCGCGTAACGAATCTCTACAATTTTGTTCGTAAACAGTTTAAAAAAATACCGCTCACTCCAAAAATAATAGATACTGTCACTTTTTACTGTACATCTTTTTCGACACGATCACGTTCGACCGGCTGATTAAATCCGACCGTGCGCCTTAAACGTCTCAAAAACTACATGGCCTAACGTAACTGGTTTCTGTTACAAGATTTGTGCGTATCTCTGTTCCAGAATTGTACTTTAATTCGAAAGCTGAAGTTCCATCAGTTTTTCTTTTTTTAAGCGCGTTCACTTTCAATTGTCGCGTACGAAAATTTCATTTCGATCAGCTCACGGTCTTGGATCTTTAGAATTCCGAATATAAAAAACGAAGATACGTACCTACTAACAAGACTGATACTTAATAGTAACCGGAATAATGGTGATATCCTGGTCTCGGTGGATGATACGGAGTGGGACTCACGGGATAACTTGGATTGTATCCTGGTAGAGAAGGCGGTGGTGGAGATGATAGAATCCGGCCATCGACCGCATCAGGTACGATATGTGGATTGGCGGAACCTGCGGATTGCGGGCTCGTGATCACGCGAGTCCCGGCTCCGTGCAAATGATGAGGTCTCGAGAGAGTGAGATCGACGGTGTGCCGTCCACCGGGAGTAAGATCTAAGCTTACCACCCTCAGAACGTCGTTATGAGAATAAGGCGGTGGTGGTGGTGGAGGACTCGGTGGTGGTGAAGATGAAGACGGTTGCGGAGGGGGTACCGAAGGTGGCACAGGAGGCGAGGAAGGCGCTATCGATGTCAGTGCTTGTGGCGCGGCTACCGTTACCGAAGAACCGGAGGATATTTGAGAGGCTCCGGACAACGGAGTGGGCGATATCGAATAACTCCCAGTTCTGCTGAGATCCACGCTTTGTCTGTCTGCGATTTCGTACAAATGATGATGGTGGTACCGCGCATTTTGCATTTGTACACCGAAACCATGATGAAACCCTCTGGCGGACATGTCCAGACCCTGAAGCTCGCCGTTGAGCACCATGGGCTCGAAGCTTGTTCTTTCTCTAGCGAAATCTTGCTCGAGCGGGTCGTATTTGTACGACGTCGAGAGATCCAATTGCATCGTCTTTTCCTTCACCGAGAGACTAAGATTCTGGGCAACCGAATTACCTTCGTCGCCGGACAAATTGTCGGACAGCGGGTGATGATGATGGTGATGATGGTGGTGATGGTGATGATGCACGTCTTGATATCGATTCGGTGTCGCCGAAGGCGACACCAGATCCTCTTGCTGAATATGCATGTAACCGTTCGGCGACGAAACACGCGGCACTTCCTCGTGGTGCAAATACTGTTCGATGTTATGCGTTCTCGGCGTTCCAATGTAATCGACCGGTCGATGCAACTGGTATTCGACGTGCAAGTGCGTGGGCGGTGTATTTCGACCATCTGGCGTAGGCGCGGGAGACATCAGCTCCTCTTGCTGTTGTATGTAGGATTCTAAATGATTCGGCGACCTCTGAGGTATCGGGGATTGCAATTGACTGGAGATCGAATAGAGATTCGTGTCCCGATCGTTATCTTCTAATATCGGGCTGCTGACCGCTCCTATATCTCTTTCGGCAGCGTCGAGAGCAGCTTCGACCAACAGACTAGCGTTCGCGCTCTCAGTTCTTCTATAAGCGCTGAGCCCCAACTTAGCGTTCTCTATGATGCCCTGCGTTCTGTTACTGCTCGTCGACGATGACACCTTCCCATCGATTTCTTTTCTCGCATCTTCGAACTCGTAGGTATTACCAGTGACAACATTTGTTGGCATATGAGACATCGCGTTAGGTCCCACGGATATGTCCGATGCAATCGGAGGATTAAACTCGCCAAGCCACTTTTTACTGCCTTTACTTTGCATTCTGGAAACACCGTAGATATCTGCGTCCGTGCGAATGGTTTCCATTGGCGCCTCCAGGCTGCTAGGTATCGACGACGCATTCATTGGAAGCGGTGGCGACGAAATTCGTGGATTGTGTTCGACTTTGTATTTGGGCGTGGAACTAGTTTCGAACTCGGCTACGATCGAATGCGTAGAATTATTGGCCGTTTCTTCGATCTTAAGATCATTCTTCGAGCTGTCTTCGTCCATGGACGTTTCGTTGCTGTTATTTTCTTGACGAGAGATTCTTCTAGTAGGACGCGGAGTCTTTCCGCGGCCAACGTCTTCGACGAGTCCACCGCTGTACGCGTCGAAGGTGTAAGCGACCGAACGTTCGATCTTCGGCATCATCTCCTCCGTAAGACCGTGCACTTTCTTGTAATGAAATTGCAGGCATTGTTTAGTTGTAAAAGCTGCTTTGCAACTATTTTCTTTGCACCTGAAATAAAAAAGAAACGGAGCCTTGTACGCGTTCCTTATGGAAACTCAACAGAGATCATAGAAATATTGCGATCTTACTTGAACGGTTTTACACCGCTGTGCGTCAACATATGTATTTTGAGATTACTCTTGTTCTGAAACATTTTTCCGCATCGATCGCAAGTCGCGGCGCCGACCACGTCCTTGTGATGGACCTCTTTCATATGGCGTTGAAGAGCAGCACGGGAACCTAAGAGTTTCAGGCACAACTTGCACTGGAACTCTCGGAGGACCTCCGACATATCTACGCATACAAAAAGCATCGAAGGCATAAACTTTATTGAGTCGCTCATACCTTATATCGTAGTACGTACCGCTGTGCATTCGTTTAATGTGCACTTTTAACTTTTGCGGTTGACAAAATTTACGCCCGCAGAAGTCGCACAATGGTCTCGAACGCTGCGGATTCTGTGCGCAGCCGTAGGTACGATGCATCTCGAGATAATTCAATCGTAGAAAGAACTTTTTGCAATATTGACATTGATACGCGCCCCGACCAGCGTGTAATTCCGCTGCATGTTTCATTATATTATCTTTGCCCAAAACAGCAGCTCCACACACCTGCAAGCAAAAGATTCTATAAATTATTTATATGGGAAACAGATGATGCCAAAACGAGATAGAACGTCGCGTTACCTTGCAATGATATTTCCTTATAGTTAAACTATAATTAGTATCGTGGAAAATGCAGCAGTGTAGACGATAATATATCGGATGGGTGAAATTTAAATTACATCCTCCACAATCTGAGCGGAACAAAAAGAAATAAGTAATGTTTCACGTTTATATGATGATTATTGGGGGGGAACGAGATACTATACTTGTTTTGTCTACTTTGTTCTTCCGCGTCCACGCAGAAGATTGAGAGTCTGCCCAGTAAGTCAGTTCCATGCCTGATACAATATTTTGTGTAGTGACAAGGTGCAATTCTCCTTGTGTCGTTATGACAGCTACACTTCGTTCCTCTTTCGTATCGGCTGGTCTGATATAACGAATCCAATTACTCTGTAATGGATCAGTCGTGCTTACGTACGAAGTTTTACCATTATTATCTATCTGAAAATAGAAAGAACGAATACTAGTGTAACAAGGGAATGCTCGAAGAACGGTAGTTGCGACGATCAAGTGAATTTGACTTATACATACAAACAGTATAATAAATATTGCATTTTACCTCCCAAATATGTCTCATGGGAAAGTCATCGGGAATGTCCATTTCTTTGACTGGCCTTCCAACGAGAGGACCCAGTTTAACATGCATGGGAACAGAACTGTTCGCATATATCCCAAGTCCATGTTCCGAGTTGGCGATCTTCAGCTCGAAACATTCAGGCAACGATTCTCTAGCGTACAATGGTCGGTCCACATCTATCGTTAACTGTTTCTCTTCTTTTTGACTCTTCGTTTTTGTTTTACATTGCTCGACCAATATAGAATCATCGTCTGACTCGTTACTGTCTTCCGTCACCTTCCCATATCCTTCGGACATAGGATCGTCGGATTTTATTGCCTTTAGAACTTCTGGGTTATTTTTGTGTTTATTCAACCAATCTTCGTACGATATGGAATCTGGAATAGCGTACTGAGGTGTCGTCAAAGGGCAAGCATCTTGCAGATGACGATTATTGCATTCCTGGCATAGCTTGATTTTAATAGCCAGCCTCTGAGGTTCAGACATTAAATTCTCAGTGTTCGTTTCAGTTTGAAGCTTTTCGAGCGTAACTGGAGTCGCATTATCAGCCGTAGAATCACAGTTCTTCTCTTCTTGAGTAACTATTCCGTCCTGCGGTGCTTTGCGCACGTCATGGTGTTTGCGATTTTTATGTTCAGTGGTGTGTTTATGTCTCTTCTTCCTATGCCTATGAACGGACTCGTCTATGATGTCCTCCGATGAATCCTCTTTCACGTTCTCGTCGTCGTTCTCTTCCTCAATCTCATATTTCAGTCGTTTCCGTTTTTTCTTCAATTTCCGATCATCCGTTTCGTGAACCGTGCTCACGTTAACGCTTGAACTATCGGAGTTACTTAAAATATTCTTGTCATCTCTCGCTTCGGTGGTTTCAACATGAGTAGATGTGATCGATGCTGTGTCTATTATATTCGAGATTGGTTCTGCAGCAGTTTCATCGATGTTCGGAGCAAGGGAAGATGTCGCTGAACTACTAGATTTCAATCGCTCGTTCTTACCACTAATCATAATAATTCTCTCCATATCAACATTCTCGATATCATGATAAAGTACATTTTTGTTAATATTTACATTATCTATATACTCTATGCTATCTATATGTTCAGTCTTTGTAATAACAGATTCAACTGTCTTCCTATTAAGCTGAAGACTGTTCGTTAAATTCGATTTTGCTTCTATTTCGTTACCTAATCTAGAGTTATCTTTAATGGAAATTTGTTCATCTCCAGACGTCGTATCATTGGATGACTGTTTCACAGGTTCCAGCGGTGGGACAACATTCTCAACCTTCAGATGTTTCTTCTTTTTCTTTTTGTCCTTATGGTGTTTGGCCTTGTTCTTATGATGTTTGGACCTCGAGCTACGTCTAACGTGAATTTCGGCGTCGTTCGACGACTTAGCCCGTCCCTTGTCAACGGTAAGTTCAGGTGTTTCAGGTTCCACGGATCTAACAGCGGTTTGTTTCCTTAAGCTTCGACGAACAAACTCCCCGGTATCTTCTGTCAAATCTTCATTCGGCATCTCTTCCGTTTTGTTCTTCTTATCCTGACCCATCTCCCTTTCTTCCCCTTCACCGCATTTAGCATCGTGTCTGTGGAACAACATCGATTACCGCAAAATGTTAATGGAAAGTATCAGATGGATGGCATAAATTATTTCAGGGGTAAAAAGAAAAAGGAATTTAGATTGAAAATTGATTTACCTGAATTTATTTCGTATTCGGAGTTAAATAAATTAGACATTTCTCCTGTATCAGTCGGTCCGTGTTCTCAAAGAAAATCAAAATCAATAAGAAGTCAGTGAAAGTGATAAAAAGCGACGACTATGTTTTGAAAAAATAAAAGAATTATCGATCATATTCACCCCTTAACGTCACTCTGACAAGATGGCGATCCGGGGGAGAAATTTTGACAGAACAGAGAGAGGCCTCGTTCTCGAACAACACGTCCGTTCAAATATCGATTAAGAGATTTTTCAACGAGAACAAAACGATACGTCCGTCCCGCGATACTTCTCAGTTAGAAATCGAAAGGATGCTCGGTCCGTCTGACAGATTTGTCGTCCTACCTGGAACAGGATTCGGCGAGGTCCAGGAGATAAACCGCAACATCTTCATCTGTCGACAGGCCTAAGCGTTTTTTGAGAGAGAGCCAACGTTTCCCGTTGGTGAGACCGATACGAACGCTACGAAAGTGTTTCGTTTTCGGTTCCGGCGTTGCTCCGAGACTGGTGCTTTTATGATGAGAACTTTTCGTTAGCCCCGACTCTCTCACATGCCTGGTACTTTTCTTCGGCATAACTACATCGTAGATCTGCCGGTATTAAAGCGGCGAACTTGAAGCCACTGCCGGAGGTCGCGCACCGATATTATCCTATCCTCTTTATGCTCACCGCCTGACCATCGCCGCCCACTCCGCCCACCCTCGACACTTGCCACCCCGAGGAGCGAGCAACCACTCGCACTCACCAAATCTCTGTTTCACTCTCGCCACGCTGCCGTTCCTCTACTTTCCTTTTCCATACCCCATGTACCCCGTGACCACGATCTTTCTCACCTATCGATCCTCTCGTCTGCGTCTCATTGCTGTACGTATGTAGCCTCGTACACAGGGACCTCATTGATCTGTATGACTGGATGCCACTGGACGGGACACGGTGTCGTTCGATCTTCGCGAGTCGAAGAAGTATTTCAGCAGCCTCCGTTATCTTTGATTATCAGGCATATGCACCATATGCACCTCGCCTCGTGGATCGACTCCTTGTGTGTAATTCAGTGCAACCAGTGTAACTGGGATTATCTCGTTCACATTACCGCTTGTTTACGTTCGACTATCACATGCATTCTACTGACAGCATACATGTGAACGGGACCGACCCAGTGATGGGTCTGGATTTTCGGGCACTAGGCATTTAATAGCCATGCGCTATGACCTCGCAGCTAGGGACATCATGTCTCGGCAGTACCGTGCATATAATGTTCAATTTCTGACGGAAAAAGGGCCCGTATGACGCGTGTCGAAATGCCTCCCGCGTACCTATTTCGTATGTACGGCCACGTAAAAACATAGTACTCCCCACTTTCTAGTCTTGGAAGGGTAGTTTTACAATGACTAATGAGTGACACAACGCGGTGCTACGCTATTTCTTTGTCTAACTTCGATCATTTTACGTCCTATCACCGCCTAAGCACCTAGTGTTTGCCAGTTTCAAACGTCGTGCCTTCTTTAAATGTAAGTACAGTTATAAGTATTCCTTCCCTGCATCCTGCAATTATTTCCCATTGAAAATGCGATCATATCATCTAATTATTTTTATTGTAAGAACTGGGTTTCTTATACATTTCATATCACACCTGACTTGTTTGAACGGTGAACTGACTCAGTCAATTGACTGTGTCACCGCGTTCGCGAATTCGATTCTACAGATTTTATGTGTTCATATATATTGTTTCTAACAAGAAGAAAACGGCTTTCAAAATGACGTAAGATCAGTTTATTCGTTGTCACTTTTTAATTAATATCGATGGTAAGTATCATCATTTTTCACGGAGACAAGAATACGAGAAAAGTACGAAATAATTTATATATTCTACATTTAATTAATAGAACTATGGCTAGACTTTATTTGAATAAATATAATAAACGTTTGAAATCTTCTCTCCTGCTCTTTGAATTTTGACACAAGATGTGTGACGAGATGACGGTATGATTGTGACGATGAGTGATTAATTATTATGAAACGACGTTCGCCGGATCTATTCGTATTCCTCGTCATCGGGTCGCACTTGGGGGAATCTTCTCAGGGGCTGGCCTTGAGATTGCGGGCGTCTTTGTTGAAGAGGAATGTTCACTTCCTCCGGACTGCGGAAGACTTGGTTCACCGGTAGACGGAACTGCGTGAGGCCTGCCGATTGTGGACGAGCCGACGGGGGAATGCTGTTCAGAGTTGACTGCGAGCTCGCATACACCTGGACATACATCCGATCATCGTATCCTTTCTTTCTTACCAGACATATAAAAAAATATAGTCATACTAATTTTGTTACTGTACGCTTCATATTTGACAGTGTTCAATGTAAATATCAATGCTCGTAACGCCTTTTAATAATGTCGAGAAATAAGAGAATTCTTGTTGAATCGTCTCCCAATTTGAAACACCTTGCGATAAACTCTTACCGGTGTTGGGCGTCGAATAGGAGCGGTTTGACTAATCTGATAGTCATCGGACTCGCGCTCGTCTGGGTGAATGTCTGAGGGGAAATATCTGTCGCTGTATCTCAGGCTTATATTAGGCCTGGTCTCGTGCTCTTCCAAGTTCAATGGTTTGTAGAGATACTCGTTGATGAAATGGTATTGCGAGCTCTTCTTGCAATTCATGTCTCCGTTCGGCGGCATGCAAATCAGGTGAACCTGTAACACGGTCGTTCGATTACGCGATGACGTTGAACACCTCCAAGGAGAGAAAGTTCCTTCGCCGAGAAAATCAAGCTACCCGGAAACGCATAACGACGTTATCAGATAAATCGATTGAACGGTTTACGACTGGTCTCGCACACCTGTCGCTGTCATATACGTAAAACCGGAAAAACTAGGGTGAAAACGGTCGTCGATGTAAAATTTTCTTATCAGCGATTGCATATTCAATTTTCTTATAAATCCGCAATCTACTCGTCCATAATATTTCAATCGAACCGGTGCGACGATTTTGTCAACACGATTCGTGTAATTACGGAACCAGAACAGGTATCGAAAGCGTTTCACATTCTTACGTTCCATGAGTGGAGCGATCCGTTTAAAAGTTACGTATATGGTGTTTGCTATGGAAAATTACCTGGTGGAATGAGAATCCTTCGGGACAGATCCAAGAATGCTTCGCGTTGTCTTGGCAGTAGTGGAACACCTCGCAATTAAGATCCTCGTCGGCGTAATAGCCAGTTTGTTTATTCACGCAGTCGAACTTACTCTGGGGCAGGAGAAGAGTCAGGCGATCGGGTTCCTCCTTCTCTTCCAATTCTTCTCGCTCCTTTAATTTGATCATCGACAGCATTAAGAAAATGACAGACGATTTCGTCATCGTGATCGTTCGAAATTGGACGCAAGAAATGAATCGGTTCATTTCTCCACGAAAATAATTCTTTCTTGCCGTCGCAACAGCCGGCTATTACGTAAGCTTATTGTGTGAAACTGCGAACAATGGGTGCATGAATTTCTTATATACTACTTTCACCTGTTGCAGGATTCGTAAAAGTATCACCTGTATCTCAAAACGTCTTAAAGTAACTCTGTAATTTATTGGGGGATGTGTAATTTATCGGGAAGATGTAATTAGCCGAGAGGTGTATAATTACCCGGGCGGTTTGCGGTTGTCCTCCTCGAAGAATAGGCCGCGACGATCCGCCAACTCGGATAGCCCCTTGATCGATCGACGGTTTACGATAGAGCTAATAAAGAATTACACATGTGTTACCCGGGTCATTCATGAAAGCGTACATTTTTTACACGGCAATAAATATATCGGAATCGATGTATTAAAGTCACTGGAAGCGAGTTATTTTTACGTAAGCCCTTATGAGTATAATGCGTAACAACGCACGCAATACTCTCTGACGCAATTCCTCTCGTCGCGAGTGATACTTTGCTCGAGGATCTCACAGATCCGAGAGCATATAATTTGGTAAAAAAGAGTCACCGACTTAATTATTACCATATCATATAATGATTATGATCGGGTCGATATCTCTTCCGAGTTAGGTCTAATTTCATGTCTTACAGGTTGTTGACCGCTCGGGTTCCTGTAGACCGGCGTCGGCGTAGGCGTGACGATGTTATCCTCGTAACTGTTATCGCGGAAACCTTGACCGTTGCTGAGGCTAGACGCGTAGAGTGGTCCCAAGCTGGACGATTTGCCTTGGTAGGGTACCCTCTGATCCAAATCGTAAGGACTCTGAGCCGCTGCGGTCGCGGCTAACGCCACCAGACACAGCCAGTACATTCTACAAATGGGAAACGAGAGAGTTCCGCTTAACGATCTACTAGCTCATTTTTCACTCTCTAAAACGATGTTTTCTTTTTATATCTGGTACACGCGGAGAAAATGATTGCATCTATGTGCAGGAGAAAGTGACCTTGGCTCTTGCTGGCCTCCGTGGAGCACGGTGGTCGAACGAAATAAAGTGAAATGCGACGGGTCTCGTTAGATTTACGTAAAACGATGTTTATCTCGCGTGAAATATGACCATTTTAACATAATTGATACCAGGGGTTCGTTACTTCTTAAACGCGTCACGTACGATCGTTCTGTACAGATTTTAATTCAATTAATCAAGACATTGAACGCGGCTACGGTCATTTTTCAGCGATAAGTAGGCAAACGTATCATTACGATCTCGCTTATAGATTTTAAAACCTTAATTATCGTTCATCAATTTCTTGCTCCGAACGTATACATACGTATAGAAAGCGTCCGCAGATGTACTTCGGTGAAATTGTATATTTGCCAAACGCGTAATAAGTTCGCGAGACCCGTCGAATTTTTCACAGCAGCCTATTGTTTGCCGTGAAAAGGACGTTTACACATCTATCGATAATAGCTGTGGAAAGCACCACACTTTCTAAGCGCATAAAACATGGACAGTGGTTTCACGATTCGTTGGAAACATCTCATTCGTAACGGTGATGATGATGTATCGCGAGAGATCCGGTGCTTTCGATGAAGAAAGGCTCGACTTACGAAAGCAAACCTCTCGGGTAAAAATGCCTCTGTCAAGAGAAATTCGTCGTACACGCGACAAACGCGAGAGGCATAAAAAAAATCATCATTTCGATACGTTCAATTGAACATAATCCAACATTTGAACGTTGATTCCTGCTAACGATCGCTGTAGATACATTGTAATGACCACCGCAAATTTATCGTCGAAGTAACGTAACGGCGAGAACGTGCAGGCGGCCGGTGCACATTTTCATTTAATGACCAGGGCAACGAGTACGTAATACCCCGATCGGTTTTCCAAACGTGTTACAAAGGTCGCACGTAACCCGTTCACGTTCTTTTTTAATACGACTTTCACGCAACCGATCCCGGGTCATCGCGTAATTACGACCGACGACTTACTCGATTAACCGGGACCATTTAAAGCATAAGCGGCACCGGGGAGTCACGGAAGAATGTAGTCGTCGCTGTTTAATGAGAGTCTTGTCTTTACCAGGCGCAAACCGGCCGATCGTTAAGATCTGTAGCCGCAAACCTGGTCCGGTCGGTAGCTCCGGTGAAAGTGAGAGGGTTTGCGTATAAAAATGGTAACGCGAGGGAAAAAAATGGGAACGTATCTGTCTCGCGGATTAAATCATAGTGTAACGGCATGCCGAATGCGAAACGATATCGTCCAAGGTTCGTGGGTAGAAAGGACATTGCTCAGGAACCGTCAGCAATTCGATCGTCTCGCTCCTGCACTACGGCAGTTTTTCATGCTGCGTTCCTGTTTCAGTTTCTCCGGTACTATTGATCAAGGAAAATTATAGGAACTTTCTCTAAACGATAGCATACATGATTGAACGTAATAGGATTCTTTTAATGTACGAAGTAATTTGAAGAAATTGGCGTCTCGTTCAATTTTCCGTGTTTATGGCAATGTCACGGTTTAAATTCTCTGTAATGAATCGGGCTTTCTCGTTGTTAACTGTACCACTGTACTCCTTTGAGCGAGGATCAAGTGTGTCAGTGATCTGAGATCGTGAATCAATTGGAGAAGCGTGAAAGTTATCGTTGAAATCAATTTTATACAGCGGCGTTTAATAGCTTCATATCGCTCTTGTAACGCACCTGGTATACATAGACGAGAGAAAAGGAGATCAGGGACTGGTCCATGGGAGTTTCTCGAAGCGTACCAAAGAAAGTAATTGCATAATGAAAAAAGAGATAGTTGTCGGGCAACTATAAACGAGAGGAACGTGGCGTGGCGACGTACATAATGTAATCAGTGGAGGGCACACGTAACTGGTCTGCCGGCTGTCCGAGTGCGAGAGACTCTTACGGAAATCTGGAGCAAGCGACAATCTTTTCTCGTTGGGTAGATGAAACCCTGCGGTCTTTCGAACATTGACCTTTTACTTTCGCTGTATCAAATTGCGTGCAGTTCACGTTTAAAGCGCCGAGTATTCAGATTATTTTATAGAACGCATAATCGAATTCCACGGAACGAGAACCGTGGACAAAACTGCACTGCAATAAAAAGAAACTACTTCGAATTAATGGTTCGCGTGATAATATCAATTCAATGGAATTACAAAAATGTTTGATAGATTCTTAGCTGCAGTTCCTGATCGCCCTCGCACAACCGGTTTCCTTTCCCGTTTCTAAGGCACGTGCCATGATCTCCGCTCCACCATGCGTAACGAGGATAATTTCGCAAATTTTTCGCAATACTATCTCCTTGTACCTTTATCTAGGCTATCGTACATTGGCATTCGAACCGTTTTTAACTCGACGTTCACACGACCAATCAAAAAGAACACCGGAAACACAAACGGGCAAACAGGAGAATTTATTACGACACTTGCACTGCTCGATTTTCGTCACTGGTCCCACGTTCCTCTCGTCGACGTTCCACCTTTGCTCCCCCGTTAGCTCTTTTCAAGATGTACTTTTTACCCCGCTTACCTGTCAACGACGGAGGTAGAGCAGTAACAGAACGATGAATGGATCGACAACACACGAGGTTTATCTTGGCCGGCTGGTTCTTCGTTCTCTTATATAGCGTGCCTCGCTGAAAGTTACCTCCACCAAGTAATATCTGGGTTCGCTTCGAGGTAGTGGGAGGCAACAGCCGATGCATATTGTAAAACAAGGTGTTCTCTGAAATCTTTGATCCCCAAACGATCTTCAACAATGAGGAACGATTCAATGGGGAAAACGAGTCTGGTATTGGAAGCATAATTGCGACCTGTCGAATCAGAAACTGTTTCGATGGCGAGATAGAGTAGTGTGCCATGAAGCTAGACAGATTCTTAAGAATTCCCCTTCTGATAAAGATTCGAGGTATTTTTCCTTCGTTCGACGAAACGAATTGTATTAAACTATAATCATTGCCGCATTAGATCTGGAACGGCTGAGCCAAATTCCTTCTATACTCTTTCCAGTGCAAATTCCAAGTGAAACAAATGAATGGAACATCGTACAACGGATGAATTCGGAACATTCACGTAGGTTTTCAGGACTAATGAGGTTTTAACAGAGCGCCCGACGTAAATTTATCGAATTCATTGCACGGTGGAACGCGATTATTACGTCACCGATACACGGCCTTTCGATACATGCATACACGCCAGCCTTCGCACCCGATCCGTTTCCGCAAAGTACACTTTCGATATGGGATCCCAACGAAATCAGCTTTCTACCACGCACCGCACGAAAATTTCCTTTCAATAGTGGGTCGACGTCAAATTTTACTTTGCATTCGAGGGACGTGACTTTAATTCTGACGCGTAACGATCAACTCTTGTTTCACTTTTTAACAGCACGGTGAAAAATCCTTCTTTTCTTCATGCCCTATCTGTCTCTGCGCTACTCTCGTACGCATCGCATGTAATTCCGAGTTTTAATTGCTTTTCACCTAAATCGTAAACCGTGTACCGTGCCATTGAAACCTCGAAAGTAGGTCGGTTTATCTGTTAATTTAATCACCTTTCACGCAGAATGCGTATATTGGACGCATCCACAAAAAGACCGCTCGCCTCCTTTTCTCATCTCCTTCTTCAATGAGTCACTTCATCGTCCTGTTACGAGATACGAGCGAACCGTGGATCGATCATAGTCATTCCCCAATTCCTTGAGAACGCGGATACGTCGAATCGAACGCGTGTAATGTATTGAAATGGATACGGATCACGTCGACTTTCTTTATTTCAAAAACGCCTATCGAAGGTCATTGTTTTCACTCGACGGAAATCGAGGAGGTGCCCGATCGATACGATCGACGACGCCTTACGAGATTCGACCGTCATTCACTTTCTTTGCCTTCCCTCGTTCTTTGAACCGAAACTTTTCCTTTTCTTGTCAGCAGACCGTGTCAATTTCCAGGGAAATAGTGCATCGTCGATTCGGCACGATTCTACCTAGATCTCAATCTGTTTTATACATGTATAATGATTAAACTGCGGCTTCTGTGGAGCAGAAAACGCATTCACAGTATCGGCAGTAAACGGCATTCAACATCTGCGATGTGCAGTCTGCTCTCGCTAATATCCGCGGTCAAATGGTCGTTGATTTTAACTGGAACAGTTTTGTTCCTTGAATCGAAAGTTTCTTCTTCCCGATTAAATTCTAGTTCGTGTTGCAACGATTCGTTCGATCGGGCAATTAGTACCGCAAACTTTTCGTAGCTATTCTTCGGGCGAAACGAGTTCTGCCCACGCGCTCGTCACTTCGAGCCTCGGTGTATCGTATGACTCGCTACGCGGATCTGAAATCGCGGTACGTTCGTTTCTTAGAAAACTCACCTTTTTAGATAGTCAACCGGTTTCTAGCGACAGCATCGAATTCAGATCGTTAAGCTCAATAAAAGGGACGCGGAGAAAACGCAAAGAACGGTACGCGAAGAATGTCTTGAAATAAAACGTAACTCCACTGAGAGCAATGCTTCTAAAAAATTATTTTACTTCATTAAAATCAAGCAATGACGAGTATATAGTCGCAGGACAAATGGTCCTATTACAAATTTTACGAAAAACTGGGAAGGATCACATTGCTTTTCATTTTGTAATTTTTTATTTTACACGAGTATACACGTCAACCGCATCGCAATAGAGATTTGGTTCTTCCGCACTCTGCGGGGATTTTTAGAGCTAAATTCCGCAGTCAAGAGGGTAAAGAGAAACGATATGATTTACTCGTTTGATTGGATTTCGTGAAAAGATCGATCTTCTTTTTACATGGGCGTGGTTTTGATAGAACAGTAACAGAAACAGATATTTGGGTGCTCCGGATGTATATGTAGAGGCGTAAGAAATACTTTCACCGGCTGTCAGATCTACAGGAGAAAGTGCGTTCGCCCTCCGTTCCGCCCCTGTAATACGCAAATGGACCATTAAAGGGGGAAATGAAAAACAAGGGATAAAAGTCGTGATTAAGCGGATGCCGAACTTCAGCTTGACCGCTTAATGCGTTCGCTTCGTCTCGCGTAATGTCTCAATCCTATCCTTTCGTACCCGATAGTAACGATTATCGCGAATGCAGGTGAATGACCGTCACCTTTACGCACCGACTGCATTCTTTCCACTCACGAGATTGATTCGCTCGATATGCAAATAACAATAATTATAATCGATAATGAATTTGTCTTTAGAGAAATATTTATTTTCATCGATTCCACGATCGAGCGTGAACCGACGTTTGATCAGAAGAGTCGATCTTTTTTTCATCTTTTTTTTACACGATCAGCATTCTCTTTTAGAATCCGCAAATAGTTCGCAGTTCCGATAGATATCGATGCAAATACCTCGACGGCTATTCCGCCGACGGGGTATAAATTAAATGCTTGTCTACGTTTAACTGAAAGATATAATCGATTATTCCTGTTTTTACACAAGCGCCACTCTTTATGTAACGGAGCAATAACTAAACGAGTGTCGGGTAATGAAATAACACGATATTATTTAATACTGTTTTATATAATTTTTATTATAAGATATTCTTGTATAGATATAAAAGTATGTACGATTAACGTTGTACCGTTTAAATTAACAATACGATAATGAACGAATAGGAGGAACAAGAAAATTGTGGAATTACGTAGGCATATGTTAAATATCGTGACAATAAAGATCTAAGGGTTGCCGATAGTTCATACGTACTAGACATCGATCACGATTTCATATTATACTTTATTCATAAAAATATCTTTAATAAAGTAAAAAACATCAGTCGGTTCGCAGTCAATGCCTTCGACGCATAATAGATAATGCAGAAAGTAGCTATCGGAACCAGTAAATGAACGTCCGTTTATAGTTTCCCCATGGTGCGGAGTATTCAGTTACTGTCGACAGCGAGACATTTGCCAGCAAATTATTTATGATCGTTATAAATCTATAATCGTACGCAGCTGTTACACGTCTCTCTGCACATATTCCCAGGAACAAAGTAATCTAAATAAGACATAATCAAATTTCGTATTATACACCATGTACAGAGGCCAGATGTACATAATTTAAATAAATAACTGAGGTAACAAAATATAGACCGTCTCTACGTGCACGTGAAGTTCTTGGTATCTGTATCGTCGTTCGCTAAATCTATTAACGGAGACTAGAAATCATTTAAAACTTAAATAATGTTAAAAGACAAAAGGCGGAAGTACATCGTAAAATTTCTGCAGTGTGCAATTACGAAGACACGCTATAGTAACACGATCTAAAACAATTTCTCGTAGTTTCAAATACGTTTAACAATATACAGGAATACCGTACGTTTGATCACGCATCATCAACTTTGGTCACGTCGTCTCGGAAGCTTTCCGAGATCGAACAGATTTTTTGTGTTTCACCGGCTCTGTCGCGCTGTCGTTGTCGGATGTCGAAGAATCCCTAAGCGTTTTTCTTCCTCGTCCAACGTTCCTTTCTTCGTTCTCGGAGCCGACCGATTCTCTGTTAGACTTCCGCCTTTGTCGCTGAGGAAATTGGCTCTGCGCCTCCATGGCTTCGCGTAGATGTTTCCGTTTTGCTTCCCAATACATTTCTTGCCTCTGCGTGATCTCAGGATACCTGCCGAGCGAAGCACACGTAGCGTATGATCAACAGATTCGGTGCTCGAAAATTCGTTTGATACCTTTCAGTAAACTCCTTGGTAGGCGGGATGATTAAACGCCATCCCTTTTTAGCTTCATGCACTGCCAAGTTCGTGAATATCTCCTTAATTTCATCAGGAGGTAATTTGATGACTGTCGATATCGTTTTTCTATTTAGGTACGTGTGTTCCGTGAATGATAATAACTGAAATTGTACGACATTAATAACGATCGTGTTTCATATAAAATAGAAAAAACGTAATACTCACGATATAATCTCTGGCTCTACACATGAGTTCGGAGGGAATCCCATTATTTGACGACACAGTATCTTTCGGGTATATAAGCTCGCTGTTCACGATCCAATTTCCCTGTACCAAGACTGCCACTTGTTGCAAATATTTCAAAACGACCGTCGTGTCTTGGTCAGGTGACAATATCGATCTCAATTGATTAAAAGATATTACTTTGGCTGTAAAATATTTTCACGATCAGCTCAGAGTAACAGGAGATTAGCATATAGAATTTTAAATCACTGACCATCTTTCATGAGTATTTTCATTTGATCGAGAAGCGGTAAAGTCCTGATATAATTGAGGGACGTAGTATGATTAGCAACGTCTGATTTCAAGTATTCTTCATCTTTCATTGGTGGTACTAATAAATCTAGATATTGCTGATTCGTTATATTCAATGTATTCACGGTTTCATCAGTAGCGGAGCAGAACATTTCTAACCTTGTCAGCTGGAAAAAGATTTGCTCGATGATAAAATTCTGTCCATTGGACGGACAGTCTGATCGAACGATAAAATGAATTAAAGACGACGTTTACCTCTGCCTGAGTACTAGTTACTGGAACATAGTTCGTATGAATCCATCTCTCTTCCAAGCTCTTTTTGGTATGATGCTGAAAAGATTGCTCCTGCATCTTCTTTATGAAATCAGGTTTCTGTCTAGCAAAGGAGACGTTGACTTGTTTCGGACCTTCTTCTTCTTCTTCACCTTCTGTACATAGATTGTCATGAGTGTTTACAGAGTCTGTGAAGGGAACGATGTATAACGGAAATTTATCTAGTTATTACCTTCACCCATACTTTTGGCTTCTTCCCTTACACGTTTATCGCTCTTATCGAGATAATTAAACTGTGGACGCATCTGTACAATTCCTCTTAACGGTGTTATATGCAATTCTCCATCCTGAAATATGCCAACTGCGTAGTTGGAACAATCTGGTAATGCTCGAGAAGATTGTAAGATCGTTTTGTCCATCAGATTGCTGGAAGTTTTTAATATTTATTAGCATCCACGTTCAGTATATAAAATTTAGTTTTTACCTATCGAATGCCCTTTCATCATCTTCTTGATCGACCCCCGAATCTCCATCTGCATTGATTGCAATTTGTTCACCTTTGCTCTTATCATAAGTGACGCTATGCGTGTCTAGTGCTACTTCTATAAGAACTTCTTGATTCTCCGGTTTGATCGAAGTTTTTAAAAAGGTTGCATTATCGTACCCATCGCGAGCAGGGCGAACAGGATATTGAAAAATAAATAGCTTGTCCGCAAGTGTTTTCGAGAGAAAGACGGGAATCTGGAATAATTGAAGTGCCGTTACTTTTCGCACAACTAAAGAAGTAATGATTAATTATGATCGCAAGGAGTTAGATGGTATTTGCTAATGCATGCAATGGAACGATTCAAATATGTAACCTGTTCCAGACGTGAAACCGAATGGCTTTAAAGAAAACGGGAAGTACAAACCTCTTTGACGACCGGATCAGTTTTATCATCCATTGCGTTAACGTTAGACATTTAAACAACATTAACCATTTATTTATTTTCTTATTCTGCCCGATTATGCTCTGATGCAAAACACTGACTTTTGTACCACGTTTCTGGAGCAGATAATTGAGATACTACACTGTATAAAACAAGTACTCGAGATGAACCTTGTTAGATCACTTTGTGTACGAACTGTACAGTTCATGTTAGCTAGTTAACTAATTAATTTTTCTGGGAAACTGGGATTAAATATCTTTCATACGCATAATTTTATCTAAAAACTTTCGATTTTATGACAACTTCGTAATGTCTCGCGAACTGTCATTACATTTTTCATTTCACTAGCTCTGTTTTTGGAGCCACAGTTCTTCTTACTTTTTAATTTCTCCTTTATTATTTAAGACTTTTTCTACGAATTATACACGTGTAGTAAATTGATCGATACGTAATTTTCGAAGTAGAGTATGCGTTGTGTCACATATATATATATACACATAAGATAAGATAATGTGTATTCGTCAGATTGGTCGTGGTCGTGGAAAGGTTAATGCAGAATTCGAGGTGGAATAAGGTTTCTACATTGAGATTATTATTTATAAGAATGAAATCGTGATTTAGAAAGAGTCTACATTAAGTAGAATTAAAATAATTGTATTTATAATAGTTTATTTAATACATGTGAGTATCTCAATGCTCTGTTCTTAAATGGTCAAGCATAAATGCGATCTACTTATGTATTAATTGTAGCGGAGTGAACGATTGTAAATAAATTAGCAAGATGACATCGATGTTCGATCAGTACGAACAAGCATCGCAAAGATCGAAACAAGTATATGCACCACCGATTCGCCCTGATATAGTATGTAAAGTTGAATCTTCATATTCTTTATGTTTCCAAACTCTGTGAACATAATAAAAATTGGAACTTCCAGAGTACAGCTGGATTTATCCAAATGAAATTCCAAGACGATGGACCAATTTTTATAAAGCAAAAAGTGAACTTTTTACCAAGTGACAAAATTGTGCAGCTCGTTGTAAACAACAATATCATTGTCATCGCTATGGCTAATAATATTCTCTTACGCATTGATATGAAACATCCAGATGCACCTGAGGGTATTGCTCTTGATCTAATGTTCTTCTCAACGACAGACTTCAGCTGGCTTTATTATAAATCAGACGTTCGTTTCAGAAATTGATATATCTAAATATGCAGTGAATATGAAAATATCAGGGATGTTCCTCGATCCCTTAGGCAATCACTTGTTAATAGCATTGATTCCAAAATTTGCACATCTAGAAAACATTCCTCCTGAGTTATTCTATTTACACAGGAAAACGACAAAGTTAAAACAGGTGAATATAATGAATTTGTGCAACTGACATGCTTAATATCCTAAGAGAAAGCATAGTTTTGAAGACCTCTATATTTAGGCAAGTAAATTCAAAGGACATCAAATTACTGCTGTTGGGTGGAACTTCTCCAATACCTCTGAGACTATGACTGGTCCAATTCTAATAGGTACCTCGAGGGGCCTAATTTTTGAAACCGAGATTGGTTTAGACGGCGATAAAATATTTAATACAAGCTTGGAACAGTATTGGCGTCAGGTATAAATAGAGCATAGATACTATTTATTAACGTCATTATCAGTAAGCATTGCCATTTCATTATGGTAAAAATACTTCCTTTATATCACTGTTCATTATGTCCTAAGCTTCCTAACTATTTACCTCTTTATGGTACTAAAGAGGTAGAAGGATTGGTGAGTTAGAAATTATACTTTCTGCATGTATATATCACTTGTATGCTAGAAGTACACGAATGTTTTCAAATTCTTGGAAATAGTAAAATCTGTATCACAGAAATGGCATAAACATTTCAATGTGCTTATTGGTATGCTATCATAGTGGTGCTTAATTATGATCCGATGAAGTTAATGAAACATGTACAATCGTTTATTTCAGGTATTTGACATAGGGAAGAACAGCAAACCGCCCATCACAGGTTTGGAATTCCATAAAATACCGAATTCTGACAAGTACGTGATTGTCGTTACAACTTTAATGCGAATTTACCAATACATCGGAGCAGTACCAAATTCAGAAGAGAAACCTTTGTTGCAACAAGTTTTTAACAAGTATCTAAATGTACAGGGTACGTTTCTCTTAAATACATTCTATTGACTCTACATATAATGGTCATGTAATATTCTTATAGAAACATTTATCGAGGTAATAAGTCAGTTGCCTTATTCGAAGATGCAGTTTTATTACCCTGCAGTCGGTGCTCTACCAAAGTCTTTCGGTTGGCTCACGGAAACTGGCATATTATACGCTCAGGTATATGATTCTTATATTTATACTTTCTTATAAAACTCCTCCCGTGTATGATTTACTTTTCATTACTTGCTTTGTAGATCGATCCAAAAGTAAATTCGAACAACATACTAATGAATCAGCAAATGTTGAATTGCCCTGAAACGAGTTTAATGGGCAGCAACATCTCACAAACGACTACTGCACCACTGTCTTTCGTTTTGACAGAATTCCATGCACTGTTACTATACTCAGACCGCGTAAAAGGTGTATCGCTCTTAAATCAGGAATTGATATTCGAAGATATCTACAACGATGTACGTAGCCCTAGTAAAATTATGACATTTTAAATTATAGCTTAAATAAAATGTAAAATTTACTTTTTAAAGGCTGTTGGAAGTTTAATTTATATCACTAAAGACTACGTGACGCGATCCATATGGGCTTATAGCGAAAGGGCAGTGTTTAAATACAGAGTCAATAAAGAAGATAGGAACGTTTGGCAGGTAAAATTAATGTAAATGTACTAGATCTATGTACATCTTAATAATCTGTACACTCTGTGTTAATAGGTTTACGTTGACAAAGGCGAATTTGAACTCGCGAAACAATATTGTAGAGACAATCCAGCACATGTAGATCATGTGCTTGTGAAGCAAGCAGAAATGCTTTTTAAAAATAAGGAGTAAGTTCAGAGGTCTTTAATTTAAGTCTCTCAACGCTGTTTTCAAATAGTTACGAACGAATTTGTTTAATAGGTACGAGAAGAGTGCTCTCACCTATGCAGACACTCATTCGTCGTTCGAAGAGATTTCTCTGAAATTTCTCCAAGAGTGGCAAATAGAGGCTTTAAAGACGTTCCTTAAAAAGGTGTTGTATCTCTTATTTAGAGTTGTGCTTAAATGGAAGATAATGCAATTCCTTTTGCGTTTAGAAACTTGAAGGATTAAAAATGCAAGATAAGACGCAAATAACCATGATCGTTGTATGGGTGATCGAATTGTTCATGAATCAGATGGGTGTATTACGGAGTAATAACAAATCATACTTGCACGATTCGCAATATTTAGAGCTACAGAAACAATTCGACAGTTTCCTCGCGATACCAAAAGTTGAGGTATATAATCAACGAGATATAAAGAATATATATTGAGAATGATCTGTTTCTTAGAAGCCAAATTGCTTTAATTCTAGGAGTGCATCAAAAGAAATCGTAGCACAATATACGATTTGATGGCAAGCCACGGCGATAAAGATAATCTTATTCGCCTGACTATAATGCATTGCAATTACGAAGAAGTGATACGTCAACATTTGTACAAAAATAATCATTTGGAAGCTCTCGAAGTTCTGAAAAGCCAAAACAATAAAGAGTTGTTTTATCAGTTCGCCGGTATTCTCTTGCAAGAGTTACCGAGGCCCGCGGTGACCGCTCTGATCTCGCAAGGTTCGATGTTGCAGCCGTCGAAGCTTCTTCCAGCTTTGGTCTCTTGCAATAGCGACGAAAAACATGTAAGATATTTATTCTTGTGTCACTAGAATCTCAATGCTGATAATAACTATTAAAAAATCGATTACAGGCGAAAGAGATAATCAGGTATTTAGAATTTTGCGTTTATAAGCAAAGCTGCCAGGAACAAGCGATCCATAATTTTCTATTATCGCTCTACGCTCGTTACAAGCAAGATGAAGTGATGCGTTACATCAGTTCTCAAGGTAATTTTGGAATCCTTATGTAGAAGTATCATACGTTAACACGTATTAATAAGAAGAACTCTTAGGGCAAGATATAAATATGGTTCATTACGACGTATATTACGCTTTGCGATTGTGCCAAGAAGTCAAATTAACAGAAGCGTGTGTGCAATTGTCCGCATTACTTGGCCTGTGGACGACAGCAGTTGATCTGGCTTTAACAATTAGCGTTGATCTCGCTAAACAAATAGCTGCTATGCCTTCCGATCACGATGACGAATTAAGGAAGAAGTTATGGCTTAAAATTGGTAATTAAGAACGTAGAGTAAAGCAGTTCACGTATTATTTCAACTCTCGAGTTCGTTTTAATTGCAGCTGAACATGTGGTTCGCGAAAAGGACGACATACAGCAAGCAATGGAATTTTTAAAAGATTGCGACAGAGTCAAAATAGAAGACATACTACCGTTCTTCTCAGACTTCGTCACTATCGATCATTTTAAAGAAGCCATTTGCAAGTCATTACAGGTAAAATGATTCTATGAGTGGTACGCGGTCATTAAATATGTGTACGTGTTACTTATTTTAATTCCAATTGATAGGAATACAATCAAAATATTCAAGATCTGAAGAATGAAATGCAAGAGGCGACGAAAGCTGCTGAACTCGTTAGAAAGGATATACAAGAGTTCAGAACTAGGTGTACATTTATACACGCGAAAGATACGTGTAATACCTGTGACGTGCAATTACTATTACGACCGTTTTACGTGTTCCCCTGTGGACACAGATTTCACAGCGACTGTCTCGTCGCTGCATTGACACCTATGCTGTCAATGGACCAAAGAACAAAATTGGCTGATCTTCAGCGTCAACTCACGGCCCTCTCGAACAGATCCGAAGATACTACGTCGGTCGGGTCTGTGTCTTTGTCTACGAAGGATCAAATCAAAGCTGACATCGATGAATTAATAGCGTCTGAGTGTTTATATTGTGGGGAACTTATGATAGAGTCTATAGGTAAGCCGTTTATAGAAGAGGAAGATTATGAAAGAGTAATGAAAGAATGGGCGTGAGTAACGAACAACAACTTTTTCTAAGTATTCCAAATCATGTACATTTAATTTGTATATTTATTATTTTTTACGTGTATCATATAATAATGTGTAACATTAAGAAAAAGCCTCGTGTTACACCAGGACGACATCAATTGTACAGATCATGATTATTTCGACCGCGTAATTAAGTACGTGCATACAGAAATAGATTTAAACGATGTGTTACATCATATTAAAAGAGTATTTATCAAATAAATTCTTGTATCAATAATAATTTATTTCTGAGCTAACCGCCTTTCAACTTCCTTGTTCCGTTTACTCACTGCCATATTCCCGAGAATGTAATAGCGTAATGGTTTGTCCGTCCACTCTTCTCTGTTATCGATTCCTATCCTGGGACATTTGACAATAGCGATTTCCTCTGTCGGCTCCGATCGATCGTTTTCAATCCATAAACCTTTCCACGAGCACAGGGTGTATTTACTATGATTCTTTTGAAGCTGGAAAGCCATGCACAGTTTCGACGGTCCATTACACAGTTCGTGCGTTTTCAAAGCTTTCGAAAGTTTTTTAGGTGCATTCGATGAACCTTTTGCAGTTCGTTGACTGGCCATATATTCGGTACCTTCTAAAGGCTCGACGGCTCTTATTAAAACGGCACATCCCTCACCTAAAATCTTACCGAGACATTTATTTATGGAACGATATCGTTTACAAAGTGAAGTTACAAGAATCATTTAATATCATAAGCGTCCACTTCAGATTCTGTGTCTTTACGACTAACGCTAGAACTTCCTAACACGTAATATCTCAACACTTTTTGTTTCCTATCATCAGACCCGTCAGAATTCGCTGCTACGATAGTCGTCGATTTTATATACGGATCGTACTCTATCCACAGACCGCTACATTCGTAAATCTTTTTCTGATCGAAGCTCTCCTCCTCAATAACAAAAGCTGTACAAATCTTGGTCGGACTGTTACAAAGTTCGTATACTTTAAAGTGTTTAACATTTTTTACAAGTCTCTTTTCTTTCCTATCTTTCTCGGTTTGCATGTTTCTTAACAATTCCATATAATCAAGGCCGAGCATAGGTTCCACTGCTTTAATCAATACATATGCTCCTGACTCTAAATATTATTTTATGTAGTACTAGACATTCTCTTTCATGATCTTAATTATTCTAAACTTAGTACTGCGTCTGATTCTATTTATGCACGTTTCCCTCACCTTGACTAGATATGTTGAAGCAATGATACATTCCATACGTCATGTACACGTATATGGTGCCTGGTGGCATGTACATCGGTATATTACGTGGAGTAACTTTGTTCTGATATGTGTGTGATGCTTTATCAACTGTTCCCAAATATCCTTCTGTTTCAACAATTCTACCTTTTAGAATAGTTCCATTTTCTAAGCAACGAACTAGTATTTTTCCTAAACATGTATTAGCACATATTATTTAACACACTCAAAAGCAGTCAATCAATTAGCATTACCTAATAAGTTCTGTGCCAGTTCTTCACATGGACGATCATAGAACGAGTATGGCAATCTGTTCGAGCATATCTCCTTCTCCCATTCAGTTACTGGTGGATCTTCCAAATGTTTTAATTCTTCTGTCATCATCTTAAGATCCACGACTGCTCTAGGTTTATTTTTTGGAGGAGGTACATTTGGCTGAAATTCTTCTTTGACCATTTTATTTCCTGTATACATAAATCACATAAATACAGTTTGTACAAAATACGAATTGATAGTAGTCCAAGAGGACTTACTGTCTTTCAAGACTTGCAAATTAATTTTATTTTTCTCCTGGTTAGAATATTCAGTATTTTTTACTGCACTCAGTTTACGATTGTGCAAGGTTTTTTCATCAGTACCCTAACACGAATGAGAACATTATTTATGTGAAAAAGAATTGTCATTTTCGTCTTTCGTAAAATTTTGTATTATTAATAATGAACCTTCGTTCCCACTTCATCTGCATTGAAGCCATTGCCACTTTTCTCGACGGAATGGGCCTTAGAAGCAGCTCGTGTTCTCTTCATTAATGGAACGCGACTCGCAAAACGGAAAGCTGTAGGAATGTTAAACATTCATCGACTACTGAGAAATAATACAAATTCAGGTGCATAGCCCGAATGGGTTAGCCATCTTTAAATTTTGGCACGAAGATCGACGAAGGTGCGACGGTGACGCCACCACTAAGTTTGGCGGTTTATAATACGGCAGTACGCAAACAGTGAAGTGTCAGTTTTTCCACGGTTTTTCCATGGTTTTTCGTTTTTGATCAAAGAAATATGAGCTTTTCTGTGAATCTGAACGTACGCGTTTCATCGATTAATTAATTCATACATACAATCCAGTGTTCCACGGTTGAGAGTCCTTAGACTGGAAATTACGGGCAGCATCAATGCTTGATTGAACAATACCAGGTATGAGAAATTAAAATTTTACTTCGTTCTTTTAAAACAGATACAGGGTAGTTTTTACACGAAGCTACGCGATTATAAATGTTTCGTTCGACTATTTTCGTCAGAGATTGTTTTCCATTTGAGCGGGGTCATGCATTGCACTCGTCGTAACGTTTTTAATTCTCCTGAATCTGTCGCAAGAATGTGAAGTACGACGCAGCAGTTTTCAATATCTGAAATCATATTCCTCATTCTATATTTCATATACTGTTTCACGTTCGTTATTTAATTAAGGGAATGTCTGGCAGTACTCGTTTTCTTTGTCGATACACAACATTTAAAGACGTATTTCGTTCAAGCGCCTCAACACTATCTGTGCACTTACTCTTCGAAAGTCATTTATAGACTACATAGATATAACACACAATATCTGATCTCTGAATGACAATAGAAATATCGTTTAACGTTTCACAATTGCGAGTACACTGGGACAAACGATACAGTTAGAAAATATGTTACAATTGTGATGTCTATTCATCGTATTGAAATAGAAAATACTGATAACTGATGCGAGAGAAGACAGAATTAAGTTTGGTACTGTCGGAACTTCCCCCAATGCATTAAGTAATAAAAAATTACTCACGGTCGTTAACGTGTGAATAGATAACGTTTCAAACGTTAACGCCGTGATACTGCAATCTCTTTGCGCTCTAACTATCACAAGGCAAAGTTCCCTCTGATACAAGGGCGGTAAATCGTACAAAGGCACATCGAAATACACTACGTGAGATATCTCTTGACTCTCTTCAATGAGGATCTCACCGGGCCAGCACAACATCAAAAGTTGTGCCCCCACCGATATTATATAAGCCATAAATCTTAAAGCCTCGACGTCCCCTGTCCCGTCGCCGACAAACGCGAGGCCGATCAAACAAATTTCTATCCCGCTCGTAAGAATTTGCATGAAAATGATGGGTGTCAACAAATTATTCACATCGTCTACCACACTGCGCAACGGCAATAGCAATCGTTGAATATGCAAATAAAAAGAAATCGCTGGGGTATCATTTCGACATGTACTTTCGAAAGATCATAGACAAAGACTGCAGAGAAGTTACCTGGTCATTCGTTGATGATGTCGAATGCATTTGATCAAGTCCGCTCTTAATTTCGTCAGATCATTAGTCCCGTGATTTATTTCGATCCCGATATTGTTGAGCCACGTACTGATCAATCGAAATTGACCAGCTACGTGCAAAATCATGGTCATGAACGAAGTGTCCAAGCCAGCAAGTATAGTACAGGTAACGTACGCTGTTAAAATTTGCCAGACGAAAGCGATCTCGAAATTGGGAGACGTCGATACGTCTACTCCGTACCTAAGAGCGATACCAGGCAATTGTACAATCATCATGACGTATGTTCGCTCTGTTCAGATAATAACTTGTTGTCAGAATGTAACACTTATTTACCAGGCTTCATAAGGTAATTCTCGGCTTTGATTGCTGTTACTGTGTCCACCTTTGAACGATTTCATTGCCGAACTGATCACGAAGACGGACGCGGTAAACATGCAGGACGTGAAGAAAACGATCGTACAAATTCTTGCCCAGTAGGCTAGTTTCTCGTAAGACTGTCTCTCTTTAACGTCGTCGGAAGAAAGCCATAAGCTTCGTATTTCGTTATAGAGTCTGCCCGTTCTCTCTCTTCTCATTACTAGATAGATCATTTTGAAGAGACATTGCCCGCAAGTCGTTAGAAACGAGCCTGCCTCTGTATTTAATTTATTCTACTGTTAAATTCAATCCCAATTTCACAGAGACATTCAGTTTCAATTCTGTGTCAGCAGCGTACCTGCTAAAATCTTTATGTTGCCCCAATTCAATGCTATTAGCATGATCTGCGGTATGACAAAGCTACAAACTGCTATTAACCCGTATATCAAGCGGAAGTACGCGAAAACTTTGGTAAACGTAGAACTCTTTTCGCCGATAGGCCACATGCCGCCTGCGCCACAAAAGATCTTGTTCGGTAGCAGGTAATAATCGATCGAAGTCACAGGTGATCCCTTCATGTTTTTCCTTCGTACGGAACCGAGTGCGTGTTCGAAAATAAAACCTTTCCGCATCGCGACAAAGTAACTCGGCAGGGGGGATGGAATTATTAATAACAATATTACAGGACGGACCTTGAATCATACAACTATTCTCGCGTTCATTCTTTATTACAGACGTTAAGCAATAATAACGTTACTATTCTTCAAACGTCCCTTTCTTCTTGAATTCATTTTTTATTCGCTATTCGACGAATAGGTAATGCAGTAAGTAAAGGACGCTGTATGTAAATTATAGTTTACACTAGTTTTCCAACAACATTTTGTCTTCTGCGTGGTATGGATCGAATCGTAACAGACTGTTTAGGAATCGGGGATCTAGCTGTGAGTCTCTACTTGCACTTCTTGCCGTCATCATCCAAGAGTACGCTAGGCATTTTATTGTCTAAAACTTATTTCGCTACATGGTGAAGCTCGAACGGCAGTGTATAAGAATACGACGTACCTAAAATTAATTTACTTCATGTTCGTACGTGTTATGAATGTGGAAAGGAAACACAGAACGAGACGACAGTAATTTCAACTGCTGCCTACAAGATCGATTTATAGGCGAGAGGAGGAGTCGAGTATTTAGAATTGTTAGGAACGAGCGATCCATAATTTTCTGTTATCACTTTATGCTCGTCATAAGCAAGATGACATTCAGTGTTCCACGGTTGAGGGTTTTCAAATGGAAATTATAGGCAGCGTCAATACTCGATTGAACAATATCAGGTATGAGAAATATCAGATTTTACTTCGTTTTAATCAGATACCAGGTAGTTTTTATGTGAAACTACGCGATTATAAACATTTGGTTCCACTATTTTCGTCAGAGATTGTTTTCCATGTGAGCAGGGTCATGCATTGCACTCGCATCGTTTTTAATTCTCTTGAATCTGCCGCAAGAACGTGAAGTACGACACCGCTGTCTTCAATATCTGAAATCATATTCCTTATTCTACATTTCATATACTGTTTCACCTCTGTTAACTAATTAAGGGAAAGTCTGGCAGTAGTCGTTTTCTTTGCAGATACTCAACATTCAAAGACGTATTGCATTCAAGCGCCCTTTAAGAATCTTTTATAGAGACAACGCGCAGAATAAAATATATGATCTCTGAGTGACAATGGAAATATCGTTTAATGTGTCACAATTGCGAGTACAATGGGACAAACGATACAGCCACGAAATATGTTACAATTGTGATGTCCATTCATCGTATTGAAATATAAAATATTCATATCTGATGGGAGAGAAGGCAGAATTAAGTTTGGTACTGTCGGACCTTCCCTCGGTGCATATAGTAACAAAAAAGTACTCACAATCGTTAACGTGTGAAGAGATAACGTTTCAAACGTTAATGCCGTGATACTGCAATATCGTTGCGCTCTAACTATCACAAGGCAAAGTTCCCTCTGATACAAGGGCGGTAAATAGTACAAAGGCACATCGAAATACACTACGTGAGATATCTCTTGACTCCCTTCAATGAGGATCTCACCGGGCCAGCACAACATCAAAAGTTGCGCCGCCACTGCTATTATAAAAGACATAAATCTTATTGCGCTGGCGTTCCCTGTCCCATCTCCGACAAACGCGAGACCGATCAAACAAATTTCTATCCCGCTCGTAAGGATTTGCACGAAAATGATGGGTGTCAACAAATTATTCACATCGTCTACCACACTGCGCAACGGTAATAGCAATCGTCGAATATGCAAATAAAAAGAGATCGCTGGTGTGTCGTGTCGACATGTACTTTCGAAAGATCGTAGACAAAGACTGTAGAGAAGTTACTTGGTGATTCGTTGATGATGTCGAATGCATTTGATCAAATCCGCTCTTAATTTCGTCGGATCATTACTCCCGTCATTTATTTCGATCCCGATATTGTTGAGCCACGTACTGATCAATCGAAATTGACCAGCCACGTGTAAAATTGTGGTCATGAACGAAGTGTCTAAGCCAGTAAGTACGCTACCGGTAACGCAGGCAGCAAAAAATTGCCAGGCGAAAGCGATCTCGAAATTTGGAGATGTCGAAACGTCTACTCCGTACCTAAGAGCGATACCAAGCAATCATCGAATCGTCATGACGTATGTTTGCTTTGTTCAGATAATAATTTGATGTCAGAATGTAACACTTTTTTACCAGACTTCGTAAGGTAATTCTCGGCTTCGACTGCTGTTACTGTGTCCACCTTTGAACGATTTCATTGCTGAACTGATTACGAAGGAGGACGCGGTGCCCATGCAGGACGTGAAGGAAACGATCGTACAAATTCTTGCCCAGTAGGCTAGCTTCTCGTAAGACTGCCTCTCTTCAACGTCGTCGGAAGAATGCCATAAGCTTCGTATTTCATTATAGAGTCTGCCCGTTCTCTCTCTTCTTATTATCAGATACACCATTTTAAACAGGCATTGCCCCAATGCCGTTAGAACCGAGCCTACTTCTAATTTTAATTTATTGTACTATTAGAGACCAATCCCAATATTAAAGAGACATTCAGTTTCAATTCTGTGTCATCAGCATACCTGCTAGAATCTTGATGTCGCCCCAATTCAATGCTATTAGCATGATCTCCGGTATGACAAAGCTAGAAACTGCTACTAACCCGTATATCAAGCGGAAGTACGCGAACACTTTGGTAAACGTCCAACTTTTCTCGTCGATAGGCCACATGCCGCCTGCGCCACAAAATATCTTGTTCGGTAGCAGGTAATAATCGATCGAAGTCACAGGTGATCCCTTCATGTTTTCCTTTCGTACGGAACCGAGCGCGTGTTCGAAAATAAAACCCTTTCGCATCGCGACGAAGTAACTCGGCAGAAGGGATGGAATTATTAATAACAATATTACAGGACGGACCTTGAATCATACAACTATACTCGCGTTCACTCTTTATTACAGACGTTACGCAATAATAACGTTATTATTCTTCAAACGTCCCTTTCTTCTTGAATTCATTTTTTATTTACTGTTCGACGAATAGGTAATGAAGTAAGTAAAGGACGCTGTATGTAAATTATAGTTTACACTAGTTTTCCAACAACATTTTGTCTTCTGCATGGTATGGATCGAATCGTAACAGACTGTTTAGGAATCGGGGATCTAGCTGTGAGTCTCTACTTGCACTTCTGGCCGTCATCATCCAAGAGTACGCTAGGCATTTTCTTGTCTAAAACTTATTTCGCTACATGGTGAAGCTCGTACGGCAGTGTATAAGAATACGACGTACCTAAAATTAATTTACTTCATGTTCGTACGTGTTATGAATGTGGAAAGGAAACACAGAACGAGACGACAGTGATTTCAACTGCTGCCGTCAAACCGTCTCCCAGTTTGAGTTTCTTGCAACAGCGATGAAATACATGTAAGATGTTTATTCCTATCTTATTAGAATTTCTTCGATTATTACAAAATCGATTTATAGGCGAGAGGCATAATCGAGTATTTAAAATTGCAAGGAACGAGCGATTCATAATTTTCTGTTATTATTTTATTCTCGTTATATGCAGGATGATGTGATTCAGTGTTCCACGGCTGTGGGGTTTCAAGCTGGTAATTGTAGGAAGCGTCCATACTGGATTGAACAAAACCAGATACGAGAAATATGAAATTTTACTTCCTTTTAATTAGATACAGGATATATTGTATACGATGTTACGCGGTTATACACATTTTATTCGACTATTCTTGTTGGAGATTATTTCCCATGTCAGCGAGATCATTCATTGTGTTTGTCTTTAGTTCTCTTGAATCTGTCGTAATAAAGTAAAATACGACGCGCCTGTGTTGAATACCTGAAATTATTTGCTTTATTCTAAATATATAAAAATTACTGTTTCTCCTCTGTTGAATAATTAAGGAAAAGTCTGGCAGTACTCGTTTTCGGTGTCGACATTCAATGTTTTTCAATCTGATTTTCAATCGATCGCAATGAATTCCTCGAAAAATTTTATACGTGTCACAATGGCAAGTTACGAAATATATTCCAATTGTCATGTCCATGTATTGTATTCATATAAAATGCTGACGTTTGATGGGACAGAAAAATTCAGATCAGAGAAAACCAATTTTGGTGCTGCCGGCTTACCCTCGATGAATCACGTAATGAAAAATTACTCACGGACGTTAACGTGTGAATAGATAACGTTTCAAACGTTAACGCCTTGATACTACTATGTCGTTGTGCCCTAACTATTATAAGGCAAAGTTGCCTCTGATACATCGGCGGTAAATCGTACCAAGGCAGATCGAGATACACCACGTGCGCTATCTCTTGACTCTCTTGAACGAGGATCTCACCAGGCCAGCACAACATTAAAAGTTGCGCCCACACCGCTATTAAATAAGATATAAATCTTACTATGTCGGTGTTCGCTGCCCCGTGTTCGACCAATGCGAAGCCGCTTAAACAAATTTCTATCCCGCTCGTAAGGAGTTGCATGAAAATGATCGGTGTTAATAAATTATTCACATCGTTTACCAAACTGCGCAAACGCAATAACAATCGTTAAATGTGCAAGTAAAGAAAAATCGCTGCGTCATCGACATGCACTTTCATCAAACAGATGAAAAAGATCGTAGAGAAATTACTTGGTAATTCGTTGATGATGTCGAATGCACCTGATCAAGTCCGCTTTTAACTTCGTCGGGTCAATATCCTTGTAATTTATTTCGACACTGATATTGTTTATCCACGCACTGATCAACCGAAATTGACCAGCCACGTGCAAAATCGTGGTCATGAACGAAGCGTCCAGGCCGCAAATTACGGCAGTGCTAACGCAGGCTGTTAAAACTTGCCAGGCGAAAGCGATCTCGAAATAGGGAGACGTCGAAACGTCTACTCCGTACCTAAGAGCCAGCCAATCGTAGAGTTGTACGTATGTTTATCTTGTTCACATTATAATTTGATATTAGAATCTAATACTTTTTACCAGACTTCGAAAGGCAATTCTCGAGTTTGATTGCTGTCATTGTATCCACCCTTGAACGAATTCATTGCTGAACCGATCGAAAAGGTGACTACGTTGCACATGCAGGACGTGAAGAAACCGATTGTACAAATTCTTGCCCAATAGGCTAGTTTCTCGTAAGACAGTCGGTCTTTAACGTCGTCGGAAGAAAGCCATAAGCTTCGTATTTCGTTATAAAGTCTGCCCGTTCTCTCTCTTCTTATTATCAGATACACCATTTTAAACAGGCATTGCCCCAACGTCGTTAGAACCGAGCCTACCTCTAATTTCAATTGATTGTATTATTAGAGACCAATCCCAATTTCAAAGAGACATTCATGTTGAATTCTTTGTCAGCAACCATACCTGCTAAAATTCTGATGTCGCCCCAATTCAATGCTATTAGCATCAGCTCCGGTATGACAAAGCTACAAACTGCTATTAACCCGTATATCAAGCGGAAGTACGCGAACACTTTGGTAAACATCGAACTCTTCTCGTCGATAGGCCACATCCCGCCTGCGCCACACAGGATCTTATTCGGTAGCAGGTAATAATCGATCGAAGTCACAGGTGATTCCCTCATGTTTCCTCTTCATGCGGAACCGAGCGCGTGTTCGAAAATGAAACCCTTTCGCATCGCGACGAAGTAACTCGGCAGATGGGATGGAATTATTTATAACAACATTACAGGCCGGACACTGAATCATACAACTTTACTCGCGTTCACTCTTTATTACAAACGTTACGCAATAATAACGTTATTATTCTTCAAACGTCCCTTTCTTCTTGAATTCATTTTTTATTTACTGTTCGACGAATAGGTAATGCAGTAAGTAAAGGACGCTGTATGTAAATTATAGTTTACACTAGTTTTCCTCGCAAAAAATTTCATCTTTTGCGTGATGTGGATCGATCCGTAGCAGACTGTGTAGGAATCGGGGATCGAGTTTTCAGTCTCTATTTGTACTTCCTGCCGTCATCATACAAGAGAACGATACGCATTTTATTTCCTAAGACTTATTTCGAAATCACAATACATACTAACAGTAAGATTCGAACGGCAGTGTGTAAAATTAAGATACAGTAATTAAAAATGCGTCTAAATTAATTTACATTGTGTTCGACCGCTGTTCTTGCGTCGTGTTACGAATGTAGAAAGTCGTTCGAAGTGAACGAACTTCATTTTTGAATACGATCTGTGCGGGAGAGGAATCGAAAGATTTCGACGCTCTACTTCTCTACTATTTCTTTATCGCGCGTTGTATCTCTAGGAGACTTTTGCCCGTGGTTTCTGGTAGCAAGAAGTAGACGTACGGCACCGAGAGTAACACGGAAACACTGTAAGTCCAATAGACAAATTTATCGCCAACCAAGTCCAAAAAGGGTTGATAGGTCTTCGCGCTCGCGAAAGATAGTAAAGCGTTGTTACAGTTGATGAACGTGGAAGCTATGTTCTTCATGTTCGCGGTGAACATTTCACCTACAAGCGTGCTGGGTATTGGCTGTAGACCGATGCCCAAGGCGAAATTGAAGAGTAACAAGGAGATTATGGGTAAGCACGTCAGACTCACAGAACTGTACCCCAGCTCAAGAAGTTGAAAGTGGAGGCCTAACAACGCTAAGGACACTGACGTTCCTATGCAAGATAATATTAGTAAACACCTTCTACCTAATTTATCGATTAAAAACGTGGCCATCGAGCCAGCTATGATCATCGATGTTCCGAGTAGCGTTACGACCAGGCTGGGCTCTATGGTGATCTGGCTTTTCGTCAGGATTATCTCCGCGTACGACATCAAAGCGCTGTATCCACTCACATGGAAGAACACGTAGACGCCCATTACGACCAGGGGTTTCTTTAAATTGCCTGGAATAAAGTAGAGAAAGATTCGTGCCGTTCGTTATTAGTTTCTCAAGTTCCGTATCTGCTTAAAGTTTTCATTAAGTCGGGATCGGAGCACGAAGCGTTCCAAAGTTGTTCGAGAATAGTTTGTAAAAAATTTACGACGTAAGCTGACTGCCTGTGATGGCAGCTCCGATAGACGCTTCGCTTCAGAATCGTACATCGACGTTGATCATTTTCCTCGGAGGATGAAAGTATAAATAAATATTCTCGACGAACGATGAGCACTTCGAATTTTTCTAAGCGAGATGAGAAATAAGTACTTGGTGTGAGAAATTCCCTGAGTTTAAGGAAAATATTTGTTTGGACCCCAGCAACGAATTCTTGAAGCTCCTGTATCTCGGCTTTGGTATCAGCTTCTCGTCTGAACCACTTCAAGGATGCCTCGGCCTTCTCGATATCCCCGTGCAATACGTAATGGTACGGCGATTCGGGTATCAGGCTGAAGAGGATCATGAAGAGGACGTTCGGTACGAGGCTCACGTAGCCGAACATCTCCATGGACAGATAAGGACCCATCGCATTGCCCAGGAACATACCAAGGGTAGATGCGTTCACGTTCATGGATATCTGAAGACGTGACCAAAGTTACGACTTTGTCGAATGAGAAATCTGATTCCGGGACGTTCGTACCCCACGAAAAAATGCTGCGGTCTCACGTTCCGGGGAATCGATTTAACTTTAATCGACGCGCTAACGATCTTGAAATTCTGTAACGGTTAAGAAACTGCGTATTGTTTGAGCGAGTAAAGATTTACCAGCGATCCACGAATCTTCGGGTCAGCGATTTCGCTCAAGTACAGCGTCAACGCGGTCCACGTGATTCCTGATCCGATTCCCGAACAGAATCGAGAAGTATACAGCCACATGACCGAAGTAGCGCAGATGCTGAAGATCCAGCTTGCGAGTAACGGTAGTCCACCGAGTAGAAGCACCATCTTTCGTCCCATAAATTCTGCAGACCACGTTGCGACATGTTAAAGTGAAGGCCGAGAACAAGGTCACCACAACTCAGATCGTACCACTGGACCGCGTTTTCTTCAGATATTTATTTCTCTTTGCCGAACACGATTGATTGACTCTGCCGTTGAAATCACGCTTGCCTTTCTACGTACCACGATTTCGCGCCGCGTTCTCCTACGAGCGCTGAGTCGTGGCTGCCTTGTTCTTGATTCGATTCTCGATCAACAACGTAGATTACCATTGTTTTCCCTTGCCTGTTCGTTCGATCGCGTGCTGTAAGAGATGATCGTGTATGCGTTTATGATGCGAATCGCCTGATCTCTATCATCGTTTTATTAATACGAACTTTGCAGAGAGGGTCTAAAAGTATGGGAGTGGAAGAGGTTCGTTGATCACGAAGAGTGTCCTACGACGTTTAAACCAACGAGGCATGGATGTTTTTCAAGTTCAAGTGCGCCTCTGCGACTCGATTGACGAGGGAAAATTAATGGACCTGACCAAATGAATTTCCTTTCTGACTACGAAGAAACGACCTTACCTTGACACACTGCGCTGAGCAAAGCTCCTACGAGCCGGCCAAGATTTAAAAGGGAAGCCACCCAGGAGGCCTCGGCATCCGTCAGTCTCAAAGGCATGTTCGCTTCCGTTGATGTGAGTTGAGCCAAGTACGGCGATGCCCACCCATTCGCGAGGCCACTTCCGATAACGACTAAGCTGACTGTCACAAACGGCCATGAAACAGTTGTGTCAACGGACGCGGAAGTAATTTCATTAGCTCATTCATAGACACGGCACTGCGCTCGCCTCTATCTACGTGGATTACCACGCGTTTCGATGCGACAGAGATTCTGCTAAAGCGTCTTGATCGAGTTTGACGTCGAGCAAACGATGATCGTTTACGTAGACAAATTTTCACTTGGAAATTAATTGACGGGAAGTCTGATCATTTTGTTTCGATAATTCATACTCACGGGTACAGGTAGCTAGCCACTGTGGCCAGACAGTGATCTTGTCATTCGCATTCTTCTTTGGATCCTCCGGAGACATTTTGGTCCTTGACGTTCGGCGACGAGGTGCGCAGGCCGTAGTACCTGTTTCATCTGGCGTTAAGTTTTCCGCACTGTAGTTCCTGAAACTTATAGCGCGAAGCCACGAGCCACGATCCGGAGATTTGCATCCCGATAAGGTCCTTGACGTATTTATGCCCCGTGCACGAGAGTCTGATCGTTAGCGTGCCAGTGGGTGTTTGTTTTTCGAGCATGGAACAGAAAAACCGGTTATCTTGGAAATTTCTACGGTCACACTTTTCTTATCTTCCACCTATCCTTTCCCGTTCAGCGTTCGTAACCGGCGAATTGTGTGAGATTTCTGAGAAACACCGACCTCGAATAAATATTCGTTAGCTGTGACTGGCAGCTTCGCAACGTTATCGTGAAATCGCGTCACAAATAGCTAACGACGATGTTAAGAACCGCTGTTTCAAAATTTATTGCTGCCGCGTGGATGATTGACGCGCCCAAGTGGAATCGTTCTGAATGCGTGTGTAACATGAGATCGTTATAAACCGAAATGATTCATCTTAAACAGCGTGTCCCGTTCGAATCGAACATCTGAATTACTATTACTACTGTCGTGCTAGCAAGTTAAATTTAAGGATGTATTGGCTATACAGTCAATCCCGAAAGTTTATACACTTTAGAAACGCATTCTTCAAAAAGAAATCAGACGTCGGAAGAACATTGCCAATAATAAACAACAAAAAAAAATTTTCGATTTTTCCGAGATTTTTCCAAGGGGTACCAATTTCGTCCAAATTTTTGTTTTTGGTCAATAACTCCCAAACCGTTGAATCTACGGGAAAATTGTATAGGACCTTTCTTGTAGAGGACGATGAGATCTACAATTTCTGTATAAAAATTTTTCGCTAGCGTCAATAGTTAACGAGTAATTTGCAAAAAACTGTTTTTTCGTTTTTCGTCAATAACTCTTTAAATATTAATGCTAGCGAAAAACTTTTCTACAGAAATTGTAAATCTCGTTGTCCTCTACAAGAAAGGTTGTATGCAATTTTCCCGTAGAATCAACGGTTTAGGAGTTATTGAGGAAAAACGATATTTTTTGCCAAAAGTTCGCCATTTCGACGCTGGGATGGTCGGATTTTGTCAACATCAATAGAATGCCAAATAATCATACGTAACTCGTTAAATATCGAAATTAGAAGGAAAACAACTTTTATTTGAAGCATTTTTCGCAATTTTGAAAAAAAAAATTTTTCGTCAGCGTCAATACTTAATTGGATATTTCCTTCTATACTTTTTAGCACATAGCTATTTGTTATTAGCATTATTCTTCCGACGTCTGATTTCTTTTTAATTATAGGAAATCCGTTTTTCTAAGGTACATAAACTTTTGGGATTGACTGTTTAGCCAATACATCCTTAAGGAACTGGAAAATGACTGACGGGGGATGTGGGTTAATATTAATGTAATGACAAAATTCCGAGATCATCGCGATGATCAGTTATTTATTTATGATTATCGCGGAAGTGTGAATTAAATATTGTGTGATCGATTGATTTTTGCATGTAAGCTTCTTCTATTAATTGCAGAACAAAAATTAGCCAAGATGAAGAAGGAACGGGCAGTACCGAGCGATACGAGCATTCCAGATCCCCTGAACTTGTTCGCGAAGAGAATCAGCGAAGAAAATAACATCGCTGTAAACGACGGGTAAGATAATTTTAATTCGATCAACTTCGTGACTGACTCCCATTAATTATATTGCCAGTAAAGTGACTGCGAAGGAATTGTTGACATCGTTGATGCCAGTTCACAAGCAATTAGGCTGTTTGCCATTGATTAGCAGTTCAGAAAAATGTAATGAGATGAAAGATGCTCCCGTCGACTTTGACGCTAGCGATAAAAAAATTGAGGAGGCTTTTATAAAAGCCTGTGTGTGTAGTAAGTTCATTTTTATTTGCTGTCTTAACAGCTCGATAGGTAGGTACATTTTGAAAATGAGAACACAATTTGTAACGTTGAAAGATGACGCCGAAGAGCGATCAGAAGAAGAAGAAAGCGAAACGCGATCTTATACGAGCGTGACAGACGAATTAGAATTGTCTTTCGACGGTAAGTGGTTGAGAAGCCTTTTCAAAATTCCATTAAAGATGGCTATGAAGGAGATCGTGTCCAAGAAACCTTGTGACCCAGTCGGGTATCTTGGATTTTGGTTATTAAATCATAGAAGATGTCACGAGCGTAGACAATGGCAATCCGAGAAAGACAACGAGTTACGTTATCTCCGGTCTTTGGTCGAAGAGAAAGTACGTAGCAGTAAAGTTCTTCCATCGTCAACTTTTCGGGACCGCCTGATATTTTTTCACTTCGCGCGAGAAAAGTAAATAGCTTCGAGTAACGTTTTATAGGAGTCGACAGAGGAAATCTCGGTAGGCACCGCCGGGGAAGAGGAGGAACAAGTGCGCGATTGGAATTTTAAGTATTACGAGACTGCGCGTACGTCTGGCAATAAGTAGATTTTCAATGAGTAGATTTCTGGAAACTTTCTCGAACGATCCTCTTGGGAAATTGATGGTCGATGCGGCATTACAAATTTTATTTAAACAACTACATGTACAATATATACATATACATACATATATATATATATCTCTCCCTCGTTCATAAGGGTAGCATCTCGGACGGAGCATTCTCGATCAGATACAGAAATCAAGTACAGACTCGTTTTCATCGTAACAGGTAGCCGTCTGATCATACGAATTGCTCGCCGTCTGACCATACGTACTGCTCGCCCCTTAAATCGACGGTGCACCCCGTTTAAACTTCGACCCCTCGTTTCCAGGTGTCTCGACGTTTGTCGGCACCCTCCGTCGCGTTCGGGCGACGTCGTGCGTTTCCGTGATCGGGTCGCGGTTCCCATGCGAGGCTGCGTTCAGTCCAATTCGTGCACCCACCCCCGCAGCTTGGTGCGCGGCTAATCGAAACGCGCACGAGTATCGCGAGCCTTTTTAAACGCATCTCTCGAGTTAGACGCGATCTGTGTCGTTCCAGGTACGATGAGGATCTTCTAACGAGAATGACGTTCCTGTGGGAATGCGTGAACGATGGGACGAGACACGCGTTCCATCGCGATTCGATTGTTATTGACGCGAGGGTTGGATGCACGGCGGCCATGTCGGTCGTCAGATGAGGGGGTTAAACGACAGATGGAGTGGCGATCGTTTCGGTCCACCCTGCCTGCGCTGGAATGCCCTCAGCGAGGAGCCCGTCGACGTTGTCGTCTTTCGTGGAGCTTTTTTCCACGCCACGATCAGGTGACCGACCTGAGGCCCTTCTTGAACCGTGTGGAAGGTTCTCCGATCGTTAAGGGACGTCCGTGAAGGGACGCGGGACCAGGGAAACCGACACGGGAAAGCGCCAGCCGTGTGGTCCACTTTACGCGTACACGGGGGTGTGCTGTGTTGTGTTGTGCACCAGAAGGCGGTTCCAGTGCACTCCGCTCGATCGTATCTCGCCGTTCCAGCGTCCGGCGGTGTCTTCCTGTACGAGGTTCCCGTGGAACTGGCGTGGATTCCGTGGTCGTGCTTCGTTATCGACGATCGTCAGCCGCGCTAAGGGGACAAGGACGCGAGTGGCCTACCAAGTCAAAGCGGAACACGGGAGTGTCGTCCACCATTTTGGCTGCGCGTGGTTATTCGACGTGTGCATCGTTTTCGTCGCACGTTCGCCCTTCTCGTGGCTCGCAACGCGGACACGAACACGCGATGCACACGGGAATCGCGATCGCGACGAGGGACGATCGGGAACGAAGTTCGGAGAGGTAACTGAGCGAGATGATGTTCGAAGAGCGCCGCTAAATGGAGCAAGGCGAGGGCTGTTTTCCTCGTCGAGATCTCGACGCTGTCAGCTGGTCGTTGGGTCGAGCGACAGTGCCGCGAATCGACTGTGAACCTGGGATTCGACGATCAGCCCGCTACGAACGTTCGCCGCGAACGGAGTCCGGATGCATCGTCGACGTTCGAGGTGAATGGTGAAAAAGAACGAAGTCGCTCGAAAGTGGGTTACCGTAAGTGCCGTCTCCGTGGTCGCCAGAGAAGGCGGCCGATCTCGAAGGAAATCCTGTGCTTCGCCGTGATCGTGTTTACCCTCGATCGCTCGTTGCCGATACTCGTCGATTGGCGAGCTCTTGATCGGAGACGACGGCGACGTGTCCGAGGGGGCCAGGTCGTGTGCAGAGCGTCTCGAGTGCCATTAACCCCGTTCGTGGCCACCTCGCGGCGGGCGACTCTCGTTTCCGCGATTTTTCTTTCGGACTCGATCTTTCTCGCGGTCCGTTTTCGCGCGATGGGAGATGGCCGGCGCGATTCCCCACAAGTCTCGAATTCGTGGAAAAGGCGCACAATCCATCCGGCTGACCGCGAGTCGTTCGCATTGATACGCGCGAAACGATGAAGAGATTCGCTAGGGACGATAGAACCACGCGCGTGTTTCTTGTATACGATGAAAAGACGAGAAACGCGACGTCTGATCGTGTCGGTGTGACGCGGCCGTATACGAGGGGGGTGGTATTATGAACTGGAGAGGAACAGTGGCACGGGCTGAGAGAATGAACTTGTTCTACCCGATGGAGACCGACCAACTGCCTTTCGTTTCGACGCTGGACCGGATCCTCCGGCGTACTTCTACATGTTTCGTGTTCCGATCATTCGACTGAAGTGGTAACTGGTTTCGTGTGATCAGTGCTCCGAGTGTGTTTTTGTCGACGTTCCGACGAGGATTACCCTGTGCTGCGTACGGTACTCCGGCATCATCACAGACACGTGAGTAACACTCATCAAATATTCTGTTTTCTCTGTCCCGATAACGCGTCTGATATGCGCTGCTAAATATAAATTAAGAGATCACGCACCTTTCTTATGAAGAGTTAAAAATCAGGCGCGAAACACGATGTTACGTCCAAGCTTTTTGTCTGTTTAAGAACGTGATTTGGTGACCACTTGATTATTCGGAGACGTGTGTATTCACACGTGACGTAGTTTAATTGCACCGTGACTCGAGCTTACCACATTGAATTGTTTAAATAATATACAGTGTATTCTCGTATCGTGAATAATACAATAGTATATTTTTATCCGACTGGTCTGACTAAGCCACTTTTGTGGCGAGCGACGATGTACGAGAGTTTAAGGGGAAACGGGCGTTCATGAGCCAGACGTACTGCAACGTGACAATAGACGCGAATGCAACGTTATAGGAATAGAATGCACGTTTTGGTGTTATTGTCTTTTTCCTTTGCACTTTTCGGTGTCTTCCACTCAAATTTTATTCAATATATTTTTATCAACATCGAATTAGCACGTAATCGTAGTCTATGGTCGCACGCGTCTCAGCGTTCCTCGGTAAAACCAGAAGTTTCGTCGGAACTCGTTCGCTACTATTTTTAGCAAATACGTACACGGAATAAATAATAGGAAATTGTTGAAACACCTACTTTCCTGGAATCGGTTTTCTTCGTTGCGGAAGTTCGAGCAGTTGTTACTACGTTGTGAACGCGTACAGCTTTTACAGAGAGACTTCCGCGTAGTCTCTTGTTCATAATTCAACGATGGACGTTCCCTGCGGGAAGGTTTCTTTAATAAAATGTCCGTTTATTCCCGGTTTTGCTGAGCCTTCGTTTATCGTTTCCCTGCGACGACATCAGCCGCCGTGGCTGTACATTGAAAGTTTAATGCGAAATCATCGAACATGGAAAGCTGGCGGCATTCCAGTTACTCCCGCCGTCTCTCAAATCCGTTCTACGACCCTTTATACAGTGCCAGTTCACGTAACACGTGTTCAGCTGTGTACGTGACATACGTTGCGGGCAAAAGGTAGTTGCACAACTGCACATGGAGTTGAATTATTGGTAAATGTAATTTGTAAGTCGACGGTACTCGGAAGTTAGCATTCGATAAAGGATGGGAGTGTCGTTGATTAATTAGAAAAAAAAATATCTTCTGTAGAGACAGCTTTGTCGTAGAATCGTTTTAATAGAAGTTGAGCATTAAAAATGTAGAGCATGAAGTTTCTGTTAAATCTACATTACCTTCTTTGAGATATAAATTGGTTTTATAAATGATTTTAATACATTCAAGACCTGTTTCTGTTCATTTATTAATCAGAATTTAACGTTTGTTAGCACAATTACAATTTAAGCAAGTTACAAGTGTATAGATTCTTATTCTAACGTAGTTTTTCGCTTGGCACCGTTTCCCAAGATCAGACTTTGAAAATGCTACCAACCCAGGTTTCATTGCGTGGAGGTGACTACGTTCGAGACCCAATCAATCCACAGGACATTTATTATTGTACGAATTTCAACAAATTTTCAATACGTGTATTTTTTACCTTCATATGAATACTTTTTTGTAGAGCGAATGGTTCTTTGTTTCTAGGATTTAATTGCAGAAACTAATTGCGACTTAATTATGAATTCAGCTTCCGATAATCTCATTGGGATAGAATTTACCAGTCTTTGTTCGTCTCATTTTATTTTAATGCTTCCTCGTGAACCAATTTCGCTTCGAGTGGATAATTTACATATACGATTGCGTTCAACATTTTTTCCGTAATATTTGTTACCGGAAATTTCTCTCGAGCAGACCGACAGACCCATTTTTGTGTTAATCATTTATCGCGCTACCTCCGCGTCGCTTGCAATAGATCTTGATCGACGATTCAGTCTATATCAACGACAAGATTATAGCTACTTAATACGTTGCTATAACAGTAATGTTGAAAACGTGCTTATTCAACGTTTCATCGCGTATAACATAAAATTGTTTAGCACAATTCCTACAGAGTTTAAATACCGTGGCGCACTTCATACTTAGCTCTCTAGTTTTTATTTATAGTAAATTTCAATTTTCAACGACGATACTAAGAAATTAACGGATAAGCGATACCGCATTTTTCATCGACGATCTCCGAGGTTCGCTGAATTGTTTTTTTCTTTTCTCTCTGTCGATATCAGTGGTGTAAGTGCACGGTTGGCGCGGTTTCACGCGGATATAGGTGTCTGAAGCGAATTGGTGTTGCTACGCGAGGGTGTATCGCGGGCCGTTTTCATTTTGCCAACTGAATATGATTTGCCATGCGGATGGGTATGTAGGTTAGCGCTTTCGTACTTCCAACTACTCGCTGTAAAGCATTATATGCCGGGCCGCGGGTGTCGAGAGGGGAATTTCGTATCAACCGAGCTTGCGCTCTTCTTTCGTCTTCCCCGGTTACCGACGATACCGCGATTCCTCGGGAATAAAGCGTCGTTTCCTGTTCGAGGAGGCACGGGGATAGCAAGGAGTTGCTCCAGTTGAAACGCGTTACGAAATCGTCGAGAACTTTCGTCTCTGTGTCTCACTGCTTCACGGTCCCTCGATTCGTCAGCGGATGTTTCTTCAGAGACACGCGTTTTTCACACATTTAACTGGGAACGCATTGAAACTTACCGTGTATCGATCATTTCGCTCGTCGAAGACGGTGTAAACATCTGTCTTAAACGTACTTTCGATACGGTCAAAGATGTTTGACCTCGTTCTCGAAGCAACGAACTTTGTACAGGCTTATAAATCAGTCGATTCAGTCAGTCGTCGAATAAGAGCCACTTTAATTCTTGAAGCGATGGACTTCAAAGAAATTCATAACTGAGTCGGTTCAAAGCTCGCTCGATGTTCGAGAAATATTGTATTATCCACGGTTCTATAGGCTGCCTGACATTTATAATATAGTTTCATAGTGATACGTATACGTGCGTACGAGGAGAGTGTAATTGGAAAGGGAATCAATTTAAATTTCGATACAAGTAATTTAACATTGATCGTTCTGTCCCCCGGAAGTAATTAAAAATTTTGTTCAATTATGAGGTAAATAGTTCGGCCTCGGTTTGATGTATCCTCGACGAACGTAATTAGCGAGTACTCGACTAGTGCCTCATTTTCATGTCCTTCCCAGTGGTCTTTGCTTTTGCACTCCCGCGTACAAGCACGTATATACGATTGCAAATTGAATGCTTCCCTCGCCTCTCTCTTTCCATCGTCCTTCTTCATTTCCTTTCTCTCGTTCCCCGGTTTCGGAACGCAAGCACTCCTCGTCTCGTCGTTCTTTCATTTTCCACGAAGCTTCGACCCTTTCTTTTAATTGAGCCTGCAAATCTGAACGGCCGAGCCGTCTTTCCGAGTTCACCCGGTAATTTAATTTCTCTCTAAATACAATTTGGGCCCCTTTCGCTCGTAACTTCTAAACTACTGCGCGTGGGCACACCTCCGGGAATTTATTGTTCGAGTCATCGGTGATTCATAAAGTTCCTTCGTCAAATTCTTGAAGAACGTGTGATCGAGTCAACGACGCCGTTTAATTAGGTTTAACCGTATCGGAAGGGAACCTTGTTTGAAATTTCGTAGCCCATCGAAGAACATGCCCGCTCTCGTGAGATCGATTACTTACCGAGACAATCCCGACTTTGCGCGGTCCCTACATTTATGTACATAACCCGGCTCGTCCTTCGTTAGCAACGTTTGTCTTGAGATTAATAATCCCCGTGTCCTGCCCGAGTCTCTGTTGGAATTGCATTTAAGTGTTTACCGATTCTAAATATACCGGCACACAGCGGACGAAACGGATTACCCTCGGCAATTTCGTTATAGAAACGAACGTTCTTCATCTCCCATTGTTTTCGACGGTTAGCCAGAGAAAAATCAAAGAGAGACTCGTCGATTTTATTGATCGTTTCGAAGAATACCGGAATCAAAAGATATGAATAGGGGCGCTGCGTGGCGTGTTTTTGTATAAATGTCAGCTATTTTAAATCTCGTAGAATAAAAATCTCATTTGCGATTCAGAGGAGGATCTCATGTCCCGGATAAAAAAATGGAATTAGCGAAACGGTTGAAGAATACAGCGTCTCGTATGCCGTTCGAATAAATAATTTGCGTGTCGAATCGTCGAATGAGTTCTAGAAATTCTTTTTTCATACGAGATTCATTACGAAATGTTTGACGAGTACGAACATCAGTCTGCGGTACTGCCATAATTCGAGACGGCCGCAGATCGAGCCGGACGCAAGCATGTTATCCAATTTTGAAAATAATCTCGGGTCGTAAAGGGGAGTAATGAAACAAGTTCGTCGGCCAAGAAAGTTGGTCGACGTCGTAAAACACGTGGAATTTTAATGAACAAGTTGGGAAATTTCCGTGAGAAATAAAGTACGGCCGCGAAAGAAAGTCTCTCGAGTCTTCGTGGATGCTCTCAAATTATAGTGGAAGTCCCCGGAGAGTGGAACTCAAGAAAGCGATGCCAGGACGGGAGAGACCGTATTTTACTTTATTACGAATATGTACAGACGACCGGTTCGCCTCTCGAGTCCTAAACAATGCTTTGTTCCTTTCGGTTCGCCTTTTTACGTTAATTTTTCTTCCCGAAGCCGCGCGGCGCTCGAGTAAATCTTACTTTCTTTTTCGGCTTTTTCCACCGACCGTGCTCTTGACAAATTTTGATCACGCAGCGATAACTTATTGTTAGACGGTTCCGCGGTGCATTCTCTTCCTCGAAAACGTTTCATCTCCGCCCTCGATTCCCTCTGGGAGTATTTGATCTCCTCTTTCGTCGCCCGCTGGGAATACTTTATTTCACCGAATCAAAGCGAACCTTTTCCTAATTGTGTTTGGGGACCATTTGCGGTTCGTCAAATTTACCGATCTTCCTGGACACGTGGACGGTATGAGAAATATTTGATCGAGACGTTCTAACAAATTCTATGACAGACGTCTAAGAAGCGCTTGAACAATTT